TCATACAATTGCACGGAATACAAGTATAAGTTGCAAAAACTGTTTTCATCATAAAGAGTGATTAATGCTGTTGTTAATGTTTTATATTGTAAGAATACAGATATAAGAGGTTTTGCTCAATCCTACCATATCATAAATAATCTTGTTAATTATTGCCTAATGTTTAAATAAAACTATTTTTGCGAATTATTACGCGGATTTATTTTTGTTTTTGGTTCCCGACGTTTCGAATGCTTTACAGCATTCATGGTCAGAGGAGAGACATGATTGCAAAGATTGAAAAGATAGTTTTATTAATAAATGTCAAATATTCGCGTAAATCTAAGGAAGTATTACTGCCTAATTGTAATACGAAATCTGCTTAGTTTTTATCTTTTTATTATTTTTAATATTAAGTACCTGGGCTACCGATCTTCGCTCGGTGTTTTTGGCCTAAACTACAATTTTCTTTTTTTTTATTTTAAGAACCTAAAAACTTGAATAAATATTAAAAAAACAAAAGTAAAAACTTTTTGTGCGACCGAGATTCAAACCTGGACACCTGTGATTGTTGATCTGGTACCTTGGCCGCTTAAACACGATACTTATGCCCGAGCATACGAAATTAGCGACCATATTTTGCATGCGTAAGAAAACCGCACGAAAACTCGTAATCACGCGTTTTCCCAGACATAAGACTAATCTTGATCAATTTATCGCCCCCGAAACCACCTGTGAACTAAATTTCATGAAAATCGTTGAAGCCGTTTCCGAGATTCAGATTATGTATATATACAAGAATTGCTCGTTTAAAGATATTAGATAATATTAAGTAGTTTTCCATCTCACGTATAGGTACTAAAGATGGTGTGGTATGTGAAAATAAAACTGTATGTTTACTAATTTTATCTTCATTCATTTTTCCCTTAAATAACGCACAGAGATAAACCCCTCTCTACAAGTACATACCAAGACGAGCTCCCAAGAACTACGCTTTGTCTGGGAATCAAAACAGGTAATATTAATACATAAGCTATAACTCGCGTCATCTAAAACGAACGCTAGAAGAAAGTGGAAAGGGTATGTTTGCGCATGGGTATACAATGGGCGCACAAAAGTACTAAGCCTATTATTTTATTTTTCATAGCATTTCGCTCGCAGCTTCAACTTAGTTCCCCACAACAATATTAGTTATTGGTAGGGACATTGAAAAATATATAAGATAGAATATCATTAAATAGAATTCTATTCATTATTAAAATATGTTTGATTCAGTGTAGAATGTTTAATATACTTACAAAAAATTAAATTAATACGTTTAATTCATTTTTTTTATTATTAACTGCATTATTATTAGACTCTCTCTTTGTAAAACAATATACGTCAAAAACAATTTTTCTCTTTTCTATATATAAAACCATTTCGTAATTAAAAACTTTTGTGTGCGCGATGGTATTTCGAACTGATGAACCAATAGCGCGCCGGCAAGCATGCGGCGCGTGCCCCGCTGCCCCGAGCCGCTCCGTGCCCCGCTTCTTACCACCAATTTGACCGAAAAATCGCTTCTGCGCAACTTGACAGCCAGCGTTCTTTTTAGATGACGCGAGTTATATCTTACCAAATTCTTCTTTCTTTACGGTAATAAGAATACACGCAGCAAAGTTCAAATCAATTATTTTGATTTTTATCAATTGCCAACCTTTTGTACAGTGTTAGTCACTTGATCTATGCAAAATTTAGCATTTAGCACAACGGCGGACAACACAGCATGTTCGGTCTAAATGACGTGAAAAATATAGAAATCTACCTACATTACATCTAAAAAATGTTAACTAAAATCTAATATTTTTTATTAAATAGGTATGACATAATATACCGATACTTAATACTTTTACAACAATTTATTGTTACCTACCTAATTAAATAAAAATGTACAAAATATTCATTCATTAAATAACACACTACCAGACAGATTTTATACACTGAATTCATATAACCAATTCGCAAATAGGTACGAATGAAACAATAATACATAACACTAGCTTTTAATACTAATGTATTATTTTTATATAATTGTATACTTATAAAATAAAAGGCAAATTGAATTTTATCCTGCTACCTCGCCCTTCCCTAGTGTCCTGCACCCGAGACGGGGAACGAGATCTGACCCGCGAGGACAATTTGTAGGTGTCATTACGCGCTGTTAACTCCTCAGTGCGCCGATTGACGGGGCCGCGCGACTGATGTCCTTGTACATATAAAAATAAAAAAAGTAAAACGAGTATTATCTGTGCTAATAAATTGGCGCGAATTGAAAGTGAAGTAAACATTGATGTGTGCTTAATAATAATGTATTTTAGTGTTTTCATTCGAACAGTGATAATTAAATTGTGATTTATAGTTTTGTTTTCAAATTTTATTTTTTATTTTTACTGTGAGTATTTTATTCTAAGTTTATCATTGAAAATCTTTTATAGAAATATCTATTAATAAAATATACCTATTATTGTTTTTATTTTTTAATTTCAAGCTTGTATAAATAGATAAAAGTAAGAGTTTCTATTATATAATTTTAATGTTCCTAACTTTTGGTGCAATACATTAGTAAATGTCAAAATAAGTTTCCAAATATTTCAATTTTAAAATTTATTACAAATGTGTCATACCGAATCCATCTTGAGATGGTACAGTAGTACTTGATCCAATTTAGTTGCACGCAACAAACCAAATAGTCTTGAACCTTCACGTTCTTTCAAATCCTTCGCCTTAACCCTATTTAATTAGAAATGGTGAGATCAAAACGGGTCAACTTACGTTGGTCATATTTAGTCGGCGCGATGTAGTGTGTGTGCACTCTGATTCCATATTTCCGCTCAATACCCTATGCGAATATAAGACCTATAAATTTCGACCCTACCAAAACGTTAAAAGGTTCAAATTACACTAACAAAATTTCAAAGCAGTAGTTCGGAACGGAAACGATTTTTTTATCGAAATTGTTTAACTCATGAAGAAGAATTATTATGTATTTGATAGACGTATCGAACGATGTCTTTAGCATCTATTCAAGTGTCATGTGACCAAGCATAGGAGGCGGCTTGACTGTTAAATTATTTTATCTCCATCTTCAATATTATATATGTTATATTATGAACCTACCTATAGTCTAGTATGTGTATACTGTGTGTATATAATAAAAGTGTAACTGATTGCTGTCTGTACAACGTACATGGAAGATACTTGAGAAAAAATATTATTGGATTTCTTTATCAACGTAATAGAACCCAAAACAATGATTTTTAGATTTTTTGTATGTTTGTCTGTGCGTTTGTGGTTGCGGTTTTCACTAATGTATTGCTTCACTTAGAATTTAGTATTTGTTTTATTTCAATCGGTTCGTAAATAAAAAAGCTATGTCAATTTAAAGAAACACCTAGCAACAAGCTTACTTTTATTTTATTACCTAACAATCGATTTTATTTATATTTAATTAATATAGGGATAAAAATATGTCCTAACTAAAGATAATTACCTACTCTCAAGTTTTTGGATAAAAAGATATTATTATTTAATTTTATTGACAGGCTTGAAAATTGCAGAAAAAAAGTATTATTGGTACCTAATTAAAAAATGAAGAGCTGAGTCACTTACTTTCTCTGAATTATGGAGTTTAAAGAATATCGGTGATATTGTGTCGATTTCAGTTAGTAGATACTTCATTATCAATTCTTCATACTTTATTAGAAACAAACTTATATACATAAATTTAATATAGCTCTTAATCGTACAAAATTTTTTTTTGTAATAATGATTATAACATAAGAGTACTGCGTTTTTATTATGTATAATTGTATGTAATTTGACTTTCTATTAGCTTTAGTTGTGTAAAATTGATACTTATACCACAAATCGATTTCTCCGTTTTCTTTATTGTCGAAAGTAAAGGCAAAATCCTTTCCAAACATATTTAAAAGTAAAATATTTGCTTCATAAATGTCAAAAAATTGTAAGAGTGGTATCATTTATTTAATTACACTCTTTAGTCTCTAAAAATGTTCATACAGATTTCTATTCTTTGTTTGAAAAAGCTTGTAATGAGAACATTCTCAGGTTTCAACGTTTATTTCTCCATAAGATTTTTAGAGCAAACATTTAAATTTTCTTTTTCTCTCCGATTTCACTAGTTTTCTGTTTTCTTCAAACTAGTTCCTTCATACGACTATGCATACTTGCAGTTTTAATTACTATGAAGTAGCCAAAAATCGTTAAATACTAATTTAGATACTTATATTAGCGGATTACCCTGATGATGAGTGGTTGTGGGTTGTATTATATTGTGTTTTCCCGTGGGAATGAGATAGTCTCCCGCGGTAAAAACTAACCTATGTAACTCTTCGGCCCTTCAACTAAGTCCAAATCACGCCGGTCCGTCAGTCTGTTTCAACGTAAAGTACAAACGAACAACACACTTTCATCTTTATAGTATTATTAATATTAAACATGATCGAATTAGAGATAATTCGTTTATGATATTAAAGTATGAATTTACCTACACATTTAGAAATATTTTTTTACATTGTCACATTCTAAAATATTCTTTTTAATAATTTTACTAGTTAGTAAATAGTTCCGAAGTAACAAACAAATATACAAATTCATGATTATTTGAAACTAGCGATTCACCCTCGTTTCGGTCGGGTTCGTCCCTAGCTTGCTTCCTCATACAAACTTTCATCCCCATTGTCGCCCCCTTAAGGAATGATTTCCGGGATAAAACCTACTTCACTCACTCATTTTTCATATCATGAGATTTAAAAATATATCATTTTAGTATTTTTTTATTTTAATTTTCTTCTAAGTATACAAAACTTTCTGACAACAATCAATACAAAAAAAAAATATCCAATTTGGTGCAGTCGATCCGAAGTTATGCGCGTACATACATTTTGGTGATTCATTTTTATTTATATATATTAAAGTATATACATTTTATTACAGATAAATGACATTAATAGAGCAAGATGGGCTTGCGGGAAAGACGAGGAATATACATAACCGTTATATTGATTTCATATGGAATAGCTGATGTCGACACAAGTCTCCCAGTAGATTTAGCGTCTGAGGAAAAAGGTAAGGTAAAAAGCTTGAGTTATTATTTATCTTATACACTTACTTTATCATAGGAAATAAGATTGAAAATTCTAACAACTGCTTACTCATAACAACACATAAATAAATATATGAATATATGTACATTTTATTTTAACTAATGACCATAATCATTATTGGCGAGGAAAATCTATATGAAGAGAATTTACATATCTATACTGTTTCCAATTTTTTTTTACATATTTTTTTTTAACTAAAGCTCCTAAATAGCAACAGTAGAGAAAACAGTACCTACTGATCTGTTTTGTCTCTCCCTATTTATATACAGATGTAATTTTTATCTAATTTGACGTGCCCATACATACATAAATGACCATATATGTTGGGTTATATGATTATCGATATTTTAGCTAAATATTAATAAAAAAAGACATTATGAACTACATACTCCACGAGTTAAATTATATATATATATATATATATATATATATATATATATATATATATATATATATAATAATAAAATTTTAAATGTAAGTTATGTGAGAATTATAAAGAGCCAAAGAGATACATACACTCCTATTCTACATTTATGTAATTTAGTTTACATAAATTTTAGTTAAAGCAGGAAATAATAAAATATTCAAGTTTAATATAGTATCTACTTATAAAGTTTAATATGATGATGTCGTCCTCCCGACCGATTCCGGTCACGACAACCAATCTCACTGAGACTAGCCAACTGCGCAGGAGATATTATACAGCACAAGTGTACGCGCAGACACAAGTGCGCTCTCTATTCCTTTTACTTCACGTTATGATGGGACGATAATTATCGTTATAATAATTATTATAATCGAATTATAATCCGACACGACTGGTGAGAGATCACAAGAACACACAATAACGAAACTTGGGCCGTAACCTGGACTCGAATCCAAGGCCTCCGGACCGCCACTACACCACTGACGCAGTTGGGGCAATGTATCGTACATTTAAAAAAATACGTGGTTGAGTTGCTTTCGGCAGATCTCAAAACTAAAGCATTTTCTTTCCGAACTGGTAGTAAACTTAACTATGTAATTATATAAAATATATGCACAATACTTTTATATCTAGCTGCCTCGTTTGTCTAGTGGCTAGAATGTACGGCTTCAGATCAACAGGTCCTGGGTTCGAGTTTAGGATTCGATAATCGAGCTTAATAGTTACTGGGGTTTTCTGTCTCAGTGGCAGCCCGGACTTGGGAATTCTACGGTGTCTACACCCATGCCTAAGAGTTAAAGGAATAGAGAGTGCACTTGTGCACTATAATATGTTCCGTGCTGTTCATTAGTCTTAATGAGATGGGCCGCCTTACCCGAAATTGGTTAGGAGAACATTATATTATAATATTTCTATGTTGATTTACGCAATTATATATTTTAGCTCCACAACAAACGACTCTATCATCAACACTCACATCGCTACAACCCACTACTGTTAACATTTCTACCTCTTCATACGCAACGGCCATACCACCGATACCGCCAAGTGATAGAGATCGATTCCTAACTTTTGCGGAATCTGGCCATCATCAGACGTTCATGTTTGCTAAAGACAACACATACATACAATTGGATGGAGATATCATACAAAGATTTCAATTGAGGTAAGTCTAAGAAAATATTAACATTGTTTGATAATAATGTATACAGTCATTTTTAACATCAGACTGCTAGCCACGGGCCTCTCATCAATAGGCGGGGGAACAGACCATAGTCCACCACGCTGGCCAAGTGCAGATTGGCTTACTTCACATGTCATTCGAAAACTTGCTAGGTGCTCTGAGACATGCCTGTTTCCTCACGATGTTTTCCTTCACCGTGAGACAAGTGATTATCATGTTGGAATGATTAGCACATGAAAATATCAGAAATGCGAGGCCCGGGATTCGAACCCGCTTCACTCGATTTCCCAAGTGAGCACGTTACCACTGGGCCCAAAAAATAAACGCATTTCTAAATCTATGTAGGTACATATAATAAAATTTTAACTGAGTTGAATCTGCTACATTAAATATTTTTTGGAAAATCTTATTGTAATAATTTTTACTATCGATATATAGTGGCCGAATCTATAGTTTTTAGAAATTTGTCTGTCTGATTGTCTGTCAACGCATCACGAGAAAACCACTGGACAGATTTTGATGAAATTTGGTTCAACAAACCGGATAACCAGCTATCTAAATATAAAGGATATATATATAAAGGATACTTTTTACTGCGGGAAAATATCTCATCTCCGAGAAATCAATACTAACCTTGAAACGAAGTCTAGTCTTTAAATTAAATTCCTGTATTAATAGTAAAATAGCGGGATATTATTTAAAATATTTTTTCTATACACTGACTTGGAACATAATAATTATTTAAATACGCTATTTATATGATTAAAAATAATTAATCAATCATTAAATATTTATGAGAACATAATTAACATTATAAGTAAGTTGAAGTAAAAAACTTGCTCTTCAGACCTAATTTAAATTACAGATTGTGCCGAGAAATATCGTTTAAGTTTCGTACGAGACTTCCTCATGGTCTGTTAGTGTATCATAATGTTAAGAATCCGGTTTTTAAAATGCAACCGTATGCATTATACGTCATCGTGGAAAAGGGGGAGCTCAAAGGTGAATATTACAATGTACATAATAATCGGTTTTATCCTTTACAAATTTTATTTATTTATGTACAATAAAATATATGTAGCTAACTTTATACTTTTAAAAGATTTCTTCCAGAAAACCTTTAGAAATGAGAAAATAAGTTAATTTAGTGCAGTGTAGTACCATCATTAAAATAGAAAATAATTGAAATAATGTTTTTATTATTTTTTTATTTAAACCAAATGTAATAATATTTTATTTAGTCGTAGTAAATTTCTTTAATATGAAAGAGCTAACGTTATAAAAAGTAAAAATGAAATACGAGTTTCTAAGTGTAGAAGAGCTTCATTAAGTTCCAACAAATATTTGATTTTGCTCTACAAAGTTGAGACGGTCTAATGACTGTCGACACTGTAAGAGTAGCTCTACATTACACAGAAATAGCAGAGGTTGTGGCATCGATTCTCGTTTGAAGCAAATTCTTATGTTGGCAATACAATTGTTTATTTCCGTCTATTTATTATTTCATTCTATTTTTATATATCTCATACCTGCAAGCATACCCGGGTAATAAAATTAATTATTGAAGTTAAACTTCTTTTGGTACGATTGAAATAAAAAATATAAGAGTCAAATTTTTACGATGCGCTCGCACGCCGACAGCCAAGAAGCGACATGATGAAGTTAGCTGCATTCCTTTTACAAATAGAGTTGTGACATACAGAATGAAATCTTTAGCTATTTTTTTTCTATTATGCCAAAGAAGTATAACTTCTTACGTGCGTATCTAAGTACACACTCACGTTTTATTTATAAATAGTTTTACTTATATTGAATTTTATAAATAAGTTTTAATATATATTTTGAATTGTAGTTGTACACGTATTTGGGAAACATTTGACATCAGTAACAGTAGGTAGAGCGTTGAATAGAGATCAATGGCATAGTGTAGTAGTTACAATAGACGTTCATGGTGCAAGGCTCATCGCTAAAGTGGACCAGCTGAAAGAAGAAGTTTATTTAAAGGTACGTTATATAGAAATATATTCGTTATTGCAAAACAGTTATAAAAAATATATAAAAAGTGATGTAGAAAAAGGTGGACTTATCTTATATATCTCTTCCAATCAACCCATGCATGTGGGAAATAGTGTTAAGCATACGTGGTCAAAATCGGTCAAAACGAAATTATTATTACTATTATTCAGATGGTTATATTTAGGTAAATGGTGTTCTTTTTATTCCTGGCATAATAAGATATTTTTTCAAAGAACAACCCATATAAGATTTATTTAAATAAAAAAATTACAGCTTAAAATTAAAGTAATATTTAATTATAAATTTCATAAATTGCTGGGTTATTTATTATTAGAAACAAGATGATCTTATAACAAAATTGATTTATTCACAAGCAAATAAAACATTAGTTAGTCCAAATTTTATGAGTCAAGTTCTAATTCACTTAATGATGCTAAATGAAAAATCATATTAGTATATAAATGAATATCTCGAAAACGTTTGGCTCAGTTTGTAGTGACTCTACTTGCTGTGCCAGCGGTTGCGGGTTCGAATCCCGCTGGGGCATTCATTTGTATGATAAGCACAGTTGTTTGTACTCCAGTCATTAGTGTTTATATTATTTATAATATGTATGTATTTAAAGTTATATGTGTTGTTTATCAGCTATCTGATATCCATAACACAAGCCTCGTAGCTTACCATGGAACTAAATGGTGAGCTACTGTGCTGTACTGGTGATGTGTTAATGTCCCAGCATATTTATATTATTTATAATATTAAACAAAGCAAATTTTAGTCGTAATAATATAATATAGGAAATTCCCTTTGAAAATGTACATTTTATTGTAACAGCTGGCAATACAATAACCCGGAAGAACACAACACCTTACATACTTTCGACCGTTAAACCATTGAGAATTCAATCAGTTTATGTATCGACTCGGAATTTAAATACACGTCTCAGTATAGGAAATCATTATTATTTAAATGTCTCTAGTTTGAAAATAGTGTTAATAAAAAAATCTTCATTTATTTATATTATGTTAATATTACAAGTATGTTAACTTCATAAGAATTAATACTATGAAAATCTATACTATAATAAAATTGTGAGTCGAATCTGTACATTAAATATTTTTTGAAAAATCTTATTGAAATAGTCATTATTATTATCGATACAGAGGCCGGATCCATAGTTTTTTAGAATTTCTGTCTGTTTATCTGTCTGCCTTTCAACGCATCACAAAAAAACCACTGGACAGATTTAGATGAAATTTGGTATAATGATAGCTGGTTATACATATAGGATAGTTTTTACTGCGGGAAAATATCTATGAGAAATTTATACTAAACGTTAAAACGTAACTAGGGACGAACCCGAGCAGAGCAAGGGTAAGTCGCTAGTAAATTATAAATTAGGAAATTTTATTGAATACTAGCGGCTCACCATCGCTTCGCTTGGTTTCGCCTCTAAAAAAACAAAAACATATCTAACCCACGGGAACCGTACTTTTTTCCGGGATCAAAAATAACATATGTGTTATTCTGATGTATGAGCAATATTATTGCAAGGTTTCATCAAAATCCATTAAGCAGTTTTTGCGTGAAAGAGAAACAAACATATACATACATTCTTACAAACTTTCGCGTTTATAATATTAGTATGATTTCAATTCGACTAAGACTGATAATTTTTATAATTTTAGGGCTTAAGTTTTGATACAAATTATGGAATAACTGATAATCTCACATCCGTCATTCTAATTGGAGGTAAATTTTAGTAAAAAATACATTTCTACTAACATTTATTTTTGAAAACTAAAAAATGCCTGAGTCTCTATGTTATGCTTTTGATTTATTTTTAACGCATATAGTCTGTTTTAATTATGAGATTTAAAACACTATTTTCGATATCTTTTTATATATATAATGCTTTTATTCCAAATATTTCAAATTTATATCTCAACCTATATAATAAATAAAAAGTAATATGTGCCGTGAATGATATGAGGCTATAACTAAATACTTAATAAAATGAAAGCTTCGTTTCTTTCCCTTTTTAGTATATTTCACATTTTCTTTTCAACTTTATTATTAAAATATCTAAATACTTCATAGAATGTTTGATCACTTTAAAACATTTCCCCAAAAGGTCTCAGTTCTGAAGAAAAACTACACGGTGTTAAATACATAATCGAATCATTTGTGGGTTGTATCAGTGATATGGTACTGAGTTCGGGGAAAGCCGCATCGGACCTCTTACCTATAGTCCCTCTAATTGCGACCAAACATGAAAATGTTAAAGAGGGATGTGTAAATAAATGTAAAACGATGGAAAATCTGTGTTTCGAAGGTTCTAGATGTATTAATGAATATAACGGGTATAGATGTGACTGCTTCGGTACTTTGTATGAAGAACAGCTTTGTGATGTTTATAGTAAGTATTGCTCGTATTGCAAATTGTTAATTAAATGTATGAAATTAAATGGTAGGTATTTTAAATTTAGATTTGACAGTAAAATAAGAAATTGACGGTTATTATTAAAATTTTCAAATTTTTATCAATTAATACTTTCTCAGATTTACGCGAATATTTGATATTTTAAATAAAACTATCTTTTCGGATTATTTTGCGGATTTATTTTGATTTTTGGTTCCCGACGTTTAGAATGCTTTACAGCGATCATGGTCACGGGGGAGACGATCCGAAAACTCATTTTTCATCAATTTTTACTATTTAAGTTGAAGTTGTTTCTTTTTAAAGTACCCTCGATACCTAGGTATTGAAAGTTATTCTATCTTCTTTACTTATGCCTTAACGTACAATTATAATAGTTATTATACAAAAATATAGATATCGATATTCTTACAACAAATATCATCATAATAATAACTTATACATTAATTTATTTACTTACAAATAACTCAAAAACTTTATATTATTTCTACAAATAACGTTATAACCTCAGCATTACACACAATTTCAGCGGCCACGATATTAACTCTGCGCGGCTCCAGCTACGTCTCGTACCGAGTGTACGATTGGAAGGATCGTGTACATTCTACCAGTACTAGAGTTAGCTTACATTTTCGGGTAAGTTTTCAATTTTATACTTGTTGTTTGTTCTTTTATTAAACTTTTATTATATTGTTGATTTTATTTTAATTTCGTATGAAATCTCTTTTTTCTTATACAAATAGTAAAAATATCTTCTGTCACTGTCCTATAAAAACACGCCTTAAAGCGTAAATAAAAATCAATCAATAAAAGATACAATATATCAGTGAAAGTGCTTGAAATTGAAATAATTTTTTTTTTTTTAAATCCGCTGCTCTACTTAACCTTGTAATTAATTCTTCCACGAGTTTTATTTACAATATTTAATGTTTTAATTAATATTTTTATCATTACAATATCACAGATACTTAAATAAATATGAACGTTAAGTTTTTATTACTCATAAAAGTACAACAAAAATTGGTGAAGGGAATTCAAAAGACTCGTAATAATAAATATTTTTATATAACATCCTAACATTTAATATGGCGATAGTATTTATCACAATAAACCTTGTTAGGCCACAGCACATCGTCCCTTTTTAGGGTTCCGTACCCGAAGGGTGCCAACGGAACCCTATTACTAAGCCTCCGGTGTCCGTCCGTCCGTCTGTCAGAGGGCTATATCTCATGAACCGTAATAGGTAGAGAGTTGAAATTTTCACAGAGTGTGTATTTATGTTGCCGCTATAACAACAAATAAAAAAATAAAAGTATATGAAACATTTTTTAATGTTCGTAATCGATCATCGAAGTTAATATATTACATACATTAAAGTCATATTAATAAAAAATACAAGTACGGAACCACTTCGTGTGCGAGATTTTTATTCTTAATGATTAATATTAAGCTGATACTTTACGAGTGGCTTCGTTTTGATGAGACGTCCAACTTTTCTATCTACAAAAAAAATGATAGTGGTAAATAAAATTGTGGGTTGTTAAGGAACAATTAGAAAAGAAAAAAAATGTCCTACAAAACAGATGATTCGGATCCAACAGTCTTCCTCTTCGAACTCGTTAAAATAACAACAAATTATTAACAACCGACTGATTTCATAGTATTTATTGTTAAAATATACATAATTCCATGACCTACAAGAAATAGACCTACAAATGATATGGTAGAATTTCTTGGTCCTACACTCGGAAACTGTCTCCCGAACGGTGATAATTCATTCATTAATAACTGTAGGACAAAAACAGCACACGAAAGTTAGTGTATACTTAGAAATAACATTTTTCTACACAATAATGAGTAGATAGGCGACACAGAATAGAGTGGACATTTTATTCGAACTTTTTCATAAAGTGATAAAAACGCTATTAAAAATCAAGATTTAATATCAACCAGAATCTGAATGTCAACCGCTAAAAGGTTTCACTAAGAAGGTGACAAGTTACTTTGCTTTCAGATTCATTATTATTATTTATTTAATTTTTTTTTATAATACAATAGCAGTATTCGCACGCGTTCAAACTTCCGGTCGCTACCAAACTTCACAGGATCACTCACCCTCTCGGCTAATGTGAAGATTACCTGAAAATTTTATCAAAATCGGTCCAGCCGTTTTGGAGTCAATAGGGAAAATACATACACTCACACACTTTTTTGTCCTGCAAGCTATGACGAAAATACTTTTCAAAAAAATGAATGAATGGACCGGACCGGTTTTACTATTACATTTAATTTATATATATATATATATATATATATATACCTTATATACACGTGTATTTTAACTTTCAGACGCGTTTCGACGATTCCGCCTTATTTTACGCGAGCGGTCAAATAGACGACAAACACCATTACATCGCGCTTTCGATACATCAAGAAAAAGTAGCTATACAAATAGATTTAGGGGACGGTTCCATTGAAGATTACTTGGGGAATAGAGTAAATAATAATAGATGGCACAACATAACAGTTATTTTGCAAGAAAAAACCGTTTTCGTATACCTCGATGATACGACCGCTACATATGAGATTCCGGGAGACGCGAAATTCGTTTGTATTGATCCTGAGATATATATTTGTGGTGGTCCGGATTTACATAAAATGAAAGGGCTTAAGTCCTTCAATAACTTCGCGGGAAATTTAAAATACGTTTATTATAACGATGTATCGATTTTATACGAATTAAAACAGAATAACCCTAAAGTTCATTATATTGGGGTTTTGGATCCTTTATTCGATGAAATCGATATTGAAGTGATACCAATTACGTATCCTTTTGCCACTTCCCATATATGGTGGCCGTTGAATGCGACTAATAGTATCAATCTGATTTTCGACTTTAAAACCAGTAAAAATATGGCGGTTTTGGCTTACAGCCAGATTACATCAGGACAAGGCTATTGGGAGGTAAGTCATTTGATTTTTAAATTTTATTAAATAAAATATGTTACTTTAATATTGAAAATTTTATTTAATATTTATGGAAAAAATGTATTTTAATTCTTAGAATTTGCTTTTTAATAATGGAAGAACACTGTTTTTAAACCAGATGTATTTTATTTAAATTAATTAATAGTGAAAAAATACTGTTTTTTTATTTAGTTTATTTTGTAATTAAGATTCAAATTAATAGTAATGTACTATTTTTATATTTATACTAAAAACTGATTTTAATTATTAAATATGTCATAAAATTTATAACGTAAAGTATTAAGTGCAAACCAAAAGGCTAATAAATTAAAAATACGATTCTATCTCCTATTTTAATTTTTTTATTAATTAGACGACTAAAAATTTGTCTTAAAAAGCTTCTATGGACCAGCTGACATTTTATTTATAATTATAATATTCAATATAATATTTATATATTTTGTAAATGTTATCATGCATAAAGTTAATTTATTGAAATGTATTATTTATTCTTTTATATAAATCGTTAGTTTTAATAATACGTGGTTCTTCTTTAAAATACATTTTTACGGACAATCATGTTTGTTCGTTTGTACCGAAGTGACATCTTCATAATCTCTTGCAGAGATATGGGTAAAGGCCATTTAATGAAAATAGCATTTATAAAATGTCATTTAGTCTATACTCTTCTCTCTAACTATATAAATATATATATTACGTACACTTCTACACTAATATTATTAAGAAGAAAGATTTGCATTTTTGTATGTTTGTAACGAATAAACTCAAAAACTACTCGACCGATTTAGATGACATTTGGTAAGAATATAGTCTGAGACATTGGAATTGACATAGAAAAGTTTTTATCACGGAAATCTTCCCTTAAGTGAAAATGAGGATGAAAGTTTGTATGGGGAATCAACCTAGGGACGAACCCGAGAGAAGCAAGGGTGAGTCGCTAGTAAATTATAAATAAATGTTATTAACTTATAGGTAAGAATGGTAAAGGAAGAAATACGTTTCGAGCTCGTACCAGATGTAGGTAAAAACGTAACAGTGCTCAAATCAGTGAAGTTTAACGTCAGCAACGATTGGCATAACGTCGAGTTAGATTATAGGAAGGGCAGGATTAAATTAACTGTTGACCATCACAATAAACATGCGCAGATGTTCGGTACGAATTGTGTTACTATTGCATGCAATATATACTTTGCGTCTTATTTCTTTAATAATTTAGCATTTTATTATATGCATGCACTAAATGATAATTTTTAATGTCATACATTCTTTGATTAAATAAAAGATTCACTATCTTTTTTTCTTTTTGTACATATTATTTCATTATTTTTATAATTTATATATAATAAACGAATCTGTATTATAAATATGAACTACTTTATACTCTTACTGACATTGAGTAAATTGATTTACAATATTACCTAATTTAAAGGCTATAACTGAAAACAAAGGCCATGTAATACTACTTAGATATATATATATACTAGTGACTTACCCTCGCTTTGGTCGGGTGTCCCTAGATTCGTTTTAAATAGATAAAAATAGATTAGTGTTAGCCAATTAAATTTCTAAGGACGACTCGACAGAACCAGTTATTATGTTTTCCCGAGGAAATGAAATATTTTCCTGTACTGAAAGATATCCTAAATGTTGACCCGAATAATAAGTTATCATTACACAAAAAGTTAAAATCAAATCAAGTATTTATATCCTTGTAATTTTTATTTATTTATTATAAAGGAAGCCAACAAAAAAATATATTTTATCCTTATAAAATATTTTTTACACTATACACCACACTCATAGGCTAACTCAACATGCATAAACAGCTGTTCCGAAACGTATACTACGTATCTATCCTATGAAAAATAAAATACTTAATAAATGTGTAAAAAGTAACGTAAAAAAACAATAAACATTAAAAAAACATGCATAAAAAATACAAAAAAAAAATTATACAATTAATAATTTATCCTGGTATATGTGGTTTTGTTTATTTTCTTTTTAATTTTCCACCTACAAGGGGCATTCGGACATTAACAACCACTTATAATTAATTAATTATAGTTTTTAGAATTATGATGAATTAAAAAAAAATTATTCACAATTATTATCAGACATATAATTGATTGAATACTTCTACTTTTTGAAATCGGTGAAATCGATAGAAAATTATATATTATATAGAATATTTAATATAAGAGATTGCTTTAATTCATTCCATTCTTCGTTAACCTTGGAAACTAAATAGTCTCGAACACGATGCCCACTTTATTATTTTATCTTTTATGTGCCATTTAAAATTTAAATGTCAACTAATGTTTTGACCTTGTGATGTAAAAAATATATTTATAGGTAGAAGAAATTTATATTACAAATATTCAATACAATACAAATATTCTTTGTTGCACACCACAAAACATGAAAGTGTGTTTGTTTGTTTGTTTGTTTGTTTGTTTTGTTTGTTGGTCCTTCTTTCACGTCGCAACAGAGTGACGGATTGGCGTGATTTTTTGTGTGGAGATAGTTGCAGGGCTGGAGAGTGACATAGGCTACTTTATACCGCGGGAGATTGTCTCATTCTCACGGGAAAACACGTTATAATGCAACCAAAAAATATTTGTTATCAGAACTACTTGAAACTTGGTATTAGTGTTCTTCAATACAATTAAATAAATACGTGTTTTAGTATTATTCAAAATTCATCCCATAAGGGGGAAAAATAGAGGGTGAAAGTTTGTATGAAATAGGTTTCATTTCCTTTTTAGAGATTTTTTTGTAATTTTAGCGCGACCGAAGCCGCGGGTTCTGCTAATAAATATTATAAATGCGAATTTTGGATGGATGTTTATTATTTATTCAAGGCCGAAGGGCTGAACGGATTTGGATGTATCACAGAGATTTTAGAGGTTATAGTTCGAAATAGCACATAGCCCATAGGTAAGAAGTAACCTATCCTATCCCGAAAAAATGCAGTTTCCATGGGATATATTTGTTTTTGTTTTTCACTAGAGACGAACCCGAGCGAAACCAGGGTAAGTCGGTCGTATCTTATAATATTAATTGAGCAATTCTTGTATATGCCTATATTTCATTTAGTTTATTTCGGAAGGGATTCTAAAGATTTGGATCAAATTTTGTATTTAGATATTTTTTAAGTCCTACTAATGTTGTTTAATTAAATTATAAATGCGAAAGTTTGTGAGAATGTATAGATGTCTGAATGTATAGATGTATGGATGTTTATTACTCTTTAAACTTTACAATAATATAGCTAATACATGAGAATTATACATAGGCTACTGGAACAATGTACGGTTTCCGTTGAATAGATTTGTTTTTTTGTTTATCAATATAGGAATGTTTTCTGAAGAAAACGCCGAATAAAGTTCGGTAGCCCAGGTACTATAAATTGAAAAAGAAATAGCACATCATATATCTTATATCTTTAAACGAGCAATTCTTGTATATTTATAATCTGAATCTCGGAAACGGCTCCAACGATTTTCATGAAATTTAGCATACAGGGGGTTTCGGGGGCGATAAATTGATTTAGCGTGTTTTAGAGTTTTCATGCAGTTTTATTTTGCATTATTCCACGCAAAATATGGTCGACAATTTGCACGCTCGGGCATAAGCAACGTGGTGAAGCGGCTAAGGTACAAGATCAACAAGCACAGGCGTCTAGGTTTGAATCTCGGTGGCATACAAAGTTTTTACTTTTGTTTTTTTTTATATTTATTCAAGTTGTTAGTTTAAAAAAAATGTACTTAGGCCAAAAACTCCAAGCGAAGCTCGGTAGCCCAGGTACTTATAGATTATTAGATTTTATATTAAAAGTGAATGGAAATTCTTAACTAACAAGTATACGTACAATACCTAAAACATATATGAAAATAATTCTAAGTTTTAACAACTTCTAACAACTAACTTTATACACATTATATATAAAATTATGTACCAAACATATTTCTTCCTTATTATACAACTTTCATTTCGACTGTAACCAACGACTAAGTTTTAGTATCTATAAATTTCTACGTTATTAATATTATGAAATTTTCAATTTTTATATATTTCATAAATAATACTATATATAAATATATATGTATATAACTTCATTTTAAATTAAAATAAAAAAGGCATGCTTGTTAATTTTATATTTTTTATATCAATTGAGTTACTGATAAATATTTTACAGGATTAGATTTTCAATTGCAAGATAAAATCGTCATTGGTAGTGGATTAAAATCTGCCAATTTAGGGTTAATTGGATGTATGCGAAATATCAAAATTAATGGGCTTTTAATTGAACCAAGGTAAGCACTTTGAATATTTACTCTTATGTATACTAACATTTAAGTATAAATTTGCATCTGATTATATTTTATATGCAAATAGTTAACGTTTTAATGTTATTTTGTAGTATGTTTTAAATTTTTATAAGTATAAATATAGCCTGCTTAAATTTATCTCCTTTGTAAAATTTTAAGGACAAATAATTATCGCATAGCCTTTGCTAGTTTGTATACCCATGGTTGCATGAAATTCGGTACAGCAAACCTATTTAAGCACTAAAAAGGCATTTTTTGTATATTTTGCTACATACGATTTTAAATAGTTAACTCTAATTAATATCTTCAAATCATATATCATCTAAGATATAAAAATCTCGTGTCACGGTGTTTGTGGTCGCACTCCTCCGAAAAGGCTCGACCAATTTTAATGATTTTCTTTGTTGGGTATGAGAATAGGTCGTACAGTATTTTATTTGATCACGATTTTAATATTTTTTATGAACAATATCCAAATAATTTAATATTATATAAATACATTGAAACGAACCCAAGCAAAGCGAGGCTGAGTCGCTTTATAACATAAAGCAAAAGAGTTTTTTTTGTAGATTGAACGCGGGCGAAGCCGAGGGTTCTGTTAGTGTTATAATAAAAATACCTGTTATCTTTTCCAGATTTGTAATAAACACTGAACGTGTAGTAGGAGAAGTAGCGATAGACGATTGTAGTTACGTGGATCCGTGCACGAGACCTAACACTTGCGAGCATGGCGGCATCTGCTCCATTAGAGAGGACCGAGTTATATGTAATTGTGATAATACAGGTGAGATAAACAAATATTAGTAATATATGTACACATATACTCAAAAGTTCTATTATATACTCATTTGCAATTATAATTGTCAAGGTGGAAATCGTTGCATTACTAATTAAAATTAATTTTTAATTTAATTTTGTATATTTTTGTGAAAATAATATAATTTCTGACCTTTATTAGTTTAATTAAGTCACTTCAATACTAAACGTGCGACAAGAAGAGCCATTGAAGCTATTTAATCAATTAAAAATCTGACTCCTTTTTTTTAACAGTTTACATAAAATCATAAACTAGAAGTAGTTAGAACTCAGCGTGATAATATCAAGACATACGACTTGTAGTGACAAAGAACTTTCATTCACCGAAAAGGCTCAATACATTTAGATAAGATGATTAACATCTTCTTCTTCAGGAATCGAACCCGCTACTCCCAATGTAAATTTAATATAGACACTAGTTGCTAGCGCAAACATACACAATTATACTATAATCATCATTGAATCATTTTTAATGATCCTGTACTATATACGGGCCTCTATTCAATACGAGGGGGACCGACCAAGTCATAGTCTACCAAGGGCTTATTTGGTAAGGTTCATATGTCTTTGAAAAATTAGGTATTGTTTCTCAGATACGAGGGTTTCCTCACAATTTTTTCCTTCACAGTAAGGCGAGTGGTAATCATGTTGAAAATGATTACCATTTATCGTCCATAAACATAGTACTAGATACACAATTCCATGCTAATGTTCACTTAAAACTGTCACCAATTGTGTTTAGGTAATTATTCTAGTTAAAATAAATTTACAACAATGTAAATTGAACCTTTAATACAGTGCTTAAAGTTGTTTTTACAATAAAAATTAAAAGCGCGCTAAATGTCCAAATGAGCGCTCATTCAGTGAGGACATTTTTTGTCCCTGATTGTATCTAGTACTTTTTTGATGCCTTTTATTAAAAAAAAACCATTCATCAAAACATAAGAAGTCAGTAGACAATTTATTGTACTGCAACGTGCGAGAAAAACCAATAAACACAATTGCAATTACTACGAGTATATGAGCGTGGTAAACGTGGGAACCTATTAGAAGCTCGCTCGCTTTGGAAGTAAAGTGAAAATCGTTGTCTCGCACATCTGAGATTTTCTTTTGCATTATTTACAACTAGCATTTCCTGTAGCTTCGTACGCGTAGTTCAATTATTCATAACTATATCTTAAAAAACATAGCCTATGTGTTACTCTGATGTATAAGCTATATTACTGTAAGCTACTATCAAAAGCAGTTTAGTAGTTTTTGCGTGAAAGAGTAACAAGCATCCATCCATCTTTCCTCACAAACTTTCGTGTTTATAATGATACTTTACCACATCTTTACCGCTTGTTATAATGGTGAAGGAAAACATATTGAAGAAACCTTCATGTCTGAGAGTAAATCGTTATAAATTTTAAAGTTATATATGTGTAGTGTATCAACTATCTGGTATCCATAACACAACCCTCGTAGCTTACTTATGGAACTATATGGAACTATATGTTCTGTTGTTAATGTCCCAACAAATTTATAATTATTTAATAAAAAAAGTCCTCCAAATGAAATTTACTTGTGTGATTGACTATGACCTAATCAACGTATTGAGGCTTCCTTTATAGAAATTAAACGATAAAAAGGCTCAACCATTATTATCGAACTAATCATAAATACGATGATTTATATGTTTGTATATTTGTTAATCCTTAACGCTGAAACTGAAATGGCTCAATACACATAGACTTTGACCTAAGAGGTTAGGTATCTAGGGACGCACCCGAGCAAGATGAGGGTCGGTATTTATTTCATTTCAAATCGCTTGTTAATTTATTAGGATTATTTTAGGGTATATCGGGGAAAACTGTCACTTTGCGACTTTCCGTAAAACCTGCGAAGAATTAGCCCTCCTCGGGTACACGCGCAACGACGTATACTTGATAGATATAGACGGCAACGGCAAGTTCCCTCCAGCACACGTCAAATGCGAGTTCCAAATAGAAGCCGATTCATCTACTACAGTTGTTGAACATAACTTACCTAGCCAAGTGGTAAGTACTTATCTATACATATAATAAAATTGTAACTGAGTCGAATCTGTACATTAAATATTTTTTGGAAAATCTTATTGAAATAGTCATTGTTATCTATATAGAGACCGAATCTATAGTTTTTAGAATTTTGGTCTGTATGTCTGTTTGTCTGAGAACGTATTACAAGAAAACCACTGGACAGATTTTGATAAAATTTAGTACGATGATAGCTGATTATTCCGCGTCAACATATAGGATTCTCTTTACTGCGGGAAAATATCTCATCTCTGAGTAATCTATACTAAGCGTTAAAACGTAACTAGGGACAAACCCGAGCGGAGCAAGAGTGAGTAGCTAGTTATACTATATTTTTTAATTTTTATTTATCTATGTTTTACATTAATAACATTCATTCATTACAGGAACTAAGATATAGGTACTATGTTCACTTGTTTTACGAACCTCCCAAATAATATACATATTATAAGAAAAAATATAAGTAAATTATAATGGACTATAAACAGCCATTTTTAATTGTTATTTACATGTAATAACAATAACAGCAGTAACTGTTACAAAGACCCTAAAATAGCATTATTTAAGGTTATCAATTATAGACGGTATAAGAGTAACATTAATTTCTTGAGACTTTTACCAACCCAAACCAAAATACATACATACTATGTATTTCTAAATAAGTGTACAACCAGCTAGCTGTGCCTCGCGGTTTCACCCGCATTTGTTCGATTATAAAATAAAACATCAGTTTTACAATAATGTATGGAAGTCTGCCCCATTTGTTGACATTTATGATTAATGCTCCGCTTCCTTAGGCATGATGATATCTAGCCTTCTTCAATAAACGGGCTATCTAATGAAAAAAGAATTTTTCAAATCGAATTAGTGATTGCTGAGATTAGCGCGTTCAAACAAACAAACAAACAAACAAACAAACAAACAAACAAACAAACAAACAAACTCTGCCTCTTTATATTAGTATTTGTAATTATATCATATCGTTTTATCTTAAGTGTTCCATCAATTTATGTCATGTAATGATGCATACATTTCGTCGTCGAACAACATATTATGTACCTAATAATGTAAATACATTTACATAGAAAGGTAATTAAAAGATAAAATCTGTATATTAAACTATTTATGATCTCTTAATGAATCTTTTCTATATTACTTTACTTTAACGAAGTGTAAATAAGAAGTAGAAATGTAATTAGTAAGATTTGGAAAATTTGAAATATTATCAAGCAATATAAAAAATAATTTTACTTGTTATTTATTTCATCAAAGTTTTTTTTATAACAACCAAATATTATAAGTCATTATCAGTTATTTCCATATTCTCGGTAAGTTTTGCTAGAATATTTCGGATGTGCTACCAAAAATGATAATTTTAATATGTGTTTGAAAACGTATGCTAAATATTAAATAAAACATCTTACAGACTGTCTCCCCCGTGACCATGATTACTGTAAAGCATTCGAAACGTCGAGAACCAAAAATCAAAATAAATCCACAAAAAAATCCGAAAAGGTAGTTTTAATTAAAATGTCAAATATTCGCGTAAATCTAAAAAAAGTATTATTGTATTATTAATCTAGAAAGTATTAATTATTTTTAATAAAAAAATAATTCGTTTTCGAATAAGAAACAATAATTGTGTAATAAAAATTTAGCCCACATTCTCCAATTAACGCCTGTCAAAATTAATATTCTTCTTATAATTATTATTCTTTAAGAAGAACAACAAAAATATAGAATAAAATATCTAAAAAGCACGTCTGGTCTATTCATTAGTAATTACAACAAATATTGTATTATATTTCAGGACGTCCGCTCAGCGTCCGGTCAAGATTTTAGCTTTAAAATCAAATATAGAGAATTCACAGCGGAAATGCTTCAAGAACTGATATCGCATTCGTTATTTTGTCGCCAATACATTAAATATGACTGTAACATGGCGCCTTTGGAGTTACACAGCGCTACGTGGTTCATTTCATCCTCTAACGACACTGTGGATTACATTGGAAATGTGAAAAAGTAGGTAAATTTTTCTTTTTAATTTCTGTTCTTATTATCATACTAGCTGTTACTATAAAACTAAACGTTGCTCTATATAAATATATGAAATATTTTAGGCGATATTCATTAAAAACTAGAATTAAATGTATCTATCGGGTAAAGTATTTTTGCTTTTCCTTTTTGATACTAAGCCAATGTAAATATTGATTATATTAATACTATATAGCTTCTAGTTAATAAACTACCCCATTTGAATAGATGGATACAGTGCCATCTATTTGATCTTCTCTGAATTAATATAACTTGTAGGGGTGTGCGAATATCGTTCGAATCGAATCTTATCGAATATTGATATTCGATTCGAAATTCGAATCGAACAATTCGAATTTTCGAATTATTCGAAAGTTTTCGAATAATTCGCGAATTAATGAAATATCTCTGGATCTTCAATTGTATCCATTTAAATTCCTTCAAATCGTGTGTCAAAATAGTCTACTTACGAATAATATACTTTTCGTTTAAAAATTAATTACCCAGAGAAATCAATTGCTCATTTTTAAAATTTGCAATATATGTTTATTATTAACTGTTAAATTTTTATTCGAAAATTGAAAATAAGAAACCCTGAAAAAAAATTGAATTATTCAAAAAAATTCGGATTATTCGAAAATTTTCGAATTATTCGAGATTTTTCGAATTATTCGGGAACTTTCGAATTATTCGAATTTTCGAATTATTCGGTTCGAGTTTCGAATCGAATAATAATATTCGATTCGGAACGAATAATTCGTAAGTTCGAATTATTCGCACACCCCTAATAACTTGTGTGAATATGAGCTAAGTCTGCAATAATATATTACAAAAGTAATACGATCAACAACCTTTTGTTAGAACTTAGTCTATAACTGTTTTAATGTAATGATATTTCTATTTTATTCATCACTATGAAAAGAGGAATGACATTGCTATTTAACATCTTATTTATAGTCTGAAATTTTGTTCTTTATCAAACCTTATTTAAACGTAACGTTACCAAAAACAGTTTTATTTAAAAAATAAATTGAAACTCACGCTCATGTTTAGGCTTTGACTAATAAATTATAAGCATTTAGAGCGGTCTTTAAAACCTTGAACTAAAAAGGGTTAACATTCAATAGACTAAGGGATCCAAACCTCAATACATAAAATATATTATGTACCCTCGTTTATACCTTTTTGGAAATTAATTTCGGCCTTACAAAATTACTTTCCAATCCTTTTATTCGCGTTTAACGTAGGTAATAAATTACGTGATAATATGACGATAATATTTCGCCATTACTGTATATTTCTTATCCGTAAGTGTCGTAAATGTGACCTGAAATAAATTTTATTCAAATGATTTATTTTGCATTTACTTGTCACAATTCATATTGGCTTTAAATTTTTTACGTTTAAAATTGGAAATTTAACTGACGAAATCAATTACCATACCAGTCTATAATGCTTATTCTTTTTAAAGCTCTATCTCTCCAATAACTATACCAAAATAGGTACATGACAATGAAATACAATAAAAAGTTATTTCCATGTACAACATTAGTATGGATTTTATAATTATTTTTAATGAAATCAAATAATCGAGATTAATTATCTACAAAATACATATGTCCTTTTGGGGTGGATACGACTTTCGTAAATTCCATGCAGTCTAACAATTGCGATGAAAAACCATAAAGCTCAACCCATGACTCTTAAAGTCCTTTATTCTTTAACTAACCTCGCACATAATACACTAAACTCATTTGGGTGGACTTTTAAAGTCTACCCGACTCTATAGTTTTGTTCAGCTTTTCTTTTTTGTTCGCAAAATATTTTGATTCTAAAATTGTACACGCACGAATCCATATCAAATAAAATAAAAATAAAATTCTCAAAAAAAATCACGGACGTAAGTCTGTGGGTGTTAGACTTACTGAAATAAAAAAAATGGCGATTCGAGTGATATTAAATAGCCCAAAGAGATTATATTATGTAGATCAATCATGAAAAAAAAGTTTGAGAATCACTAAAATGTATTTACTAGAGCTTCTTCAGCAAAACAGAAAGATTTAATTAAAAAGATTCAAGTTAAAATCACTTTGGAAAGAAACCTGAAATTCATAGCAAACGTCATCAAAAACGGCTCAGCTGATTTTCAAAATAGATTTACAATAACTCACCTATATTTCACTTGTATATGTATGTATCTCATAACTATGTATAATTATAAAACTACTGGTAGACCTTAATAAATAAAATAAAGAAAACACACGGAATTTGGTGTTTTTTAAAGGCTTACTAGATTTACATAGCGACATGAATTTGACACAATAATACTTCTCTATTATCTATATAAAAACTTAGAAATATACACAAATTAAATATAAACACTAATTTATATGTTTTGAAATAATATTTTAGAGGATACTGTCCTTGTGGGGTAAACACGACTTGTGTGAATCCAACGCAGTCTTGCAATTGCGATGCGAATGAGAACAAATGGCACTCAGACGAAGGCACGCTGGTCCATCCTAAGAGTTTGGGGATCACTGAAATGTTCTTCCTACAGCAGAAAGACTTGACTGAAGAAGCTCAGGGTAGAATCACTTTGGGGCCTTTAGAGTGTGTTGAAACAAGTATGTTTTTTATTATTTTATAGTTTCTTTTTATTATATCTATTATAAGAATATTAGTGTATTTTTTGGTTTTCATACTTAAATTATATTCTAATGGCAATATTGATAAGAAATCAACGCAAATATTTAAGCTGTTATAGTTTAATTAATATATAAATCTTTCATGAATGCCTATACAAACAAAAATAAACAAATTGAACATGATTCATATTTGTAATATTAAGGGCCTATGTACACTACATTTTATAACAGTGCTAACGACGCGCGTATTATGAACAGACGACATATACGCATATTTTCGACATACAGTTGACAGCGCATTAAAAAATTAACGTTTGCATAGGCTCTAATAAATGGTACTGTTACAAGCAATATGTATATTTCATTGTAAATAAAGCTGTGTTTTCGGATTTTTTCGTGGACTTATTTCAATTTTTGGTTTCCGACGTTTCAAATGCTTTATAGGCAATCATGGTCCAAATATCAAAATAAACCCGTGAAAAATACATAGTTTCATTTAAAATGTCAAATATTCGCATAAACGGCAAATCTAAGAAAGAATTCATATATTTAGTATCAGTAATATAAGTATCATACTTCAATTACAAGTAATGATTAAACAAACAAACAGACACACAGCGATACGTGGTGACATTCACGACGTCGCAGTCCTACATCGAGGTGCCGGGGTGGCGCAAGGGCGACATCGCCTTCAGCTTCCGCACCACCGGCACCAGCGCCATCTTGCTGTTCCAGCCGCCGATACGACCGAATTACCCCTCCTTTATGGTCGCCTTAACTAGCGGTGAGTTGTGGTCGTTTTTTCATGTATAAGTTAACAAAGCTGACATACAAATATATCTGTGTCCCTAGGTTGATTCCCCATACAAACTTTCATCCCCATTCTCATATCTTTAAGGGATGATTTCCGGGATAAAAAGTATCTTATATCCTTCCCAGGGTCTCAAACTATCTTCTTACCAAATTTTATCTAAATCGGTTAAGTAGATCCAGAGATTACGCCCTACAACGTCACAAACTCACAAACTTTACCTTTTTATTATAATATTAGTATAGATAATTAAAACTTTTGAGACCTCAAAAATATTAGTCTTATTCAGACATTTTTGCTGTATCGGACTGACAAGATAACTCTATAATGGACTATAAGATCAAGTGTTCCACTAAAAGCGATTATTATATATAAAAAAAATATATAACACATAAACACTGGCAAAGTATTTAAGTCCAAATTATATAACCTATAAATAACAAAATTTCTTTATATTAACATATTTCTAGAACACGAATTGACATTTAACTTCACACTCAACACGGGCACTACTAGGAAACTAGTGATTAACTCCAAAAGGAAACTAAACGGCGGGGAGTGGCATAAGATATGGATAGATTACAACTTCTACCACGTCAGGTTCATGCTTAACACTGAATATCAGATGCTAAATTTGCTTCAAGAAGAGGAATTTGGTCCGTTCGAAGGCTCCATGTTTATTGGTGGTGCTACTGCGTAAGTATTTTTTACTGTACTTTATAGACTTTACTATTCACTTTGCTTTACTTTAATTTCCAAGTATTCGACTTTAAACTTTCTAATTACTCAATATATTAATTTTTACGTCATTCGTCAAAATAAATATTTTATTAAATACAAAAATCTAAGAAAATATTGTGATTCATTCAATAAACTTATATATCATGAATGCTTTTGACCTAATATATTAGTGGACATAACAACACTGTACTATACGAAGTACCAATATAAACGCACAAGCTATAAATATTGGAACTTACAAAAGGATCCAAATTGTCCTTTTTACTATAGAAACGGCAATTGATACTTAATGTTAGTCCTCAGCATAAATCTTAGATAATAGTTTTAACGTTTTCTTTACTTCGTCTCATGGCAATGTTTAAAAATACTCTCTCTTTTCTCGTCATTTCCTCATTATATATTTTTTTGTTAGATTTTTTAATATAATTAATTTTATTTAATTAATTTTATTGTTATTATATGTACTGATTTTCTCTTAGTAGCATTAAATTATTTATATGTTTACTTGCGACAATCGTTGTCTATGTGTTGTTCCTGCTCATAGTCTATCTGCGTATCGAACATCCATTTCCGTCCAGTCGTTTCAGCGTGAAGAAGTAACAAACATACACTCACGTAGAAAATATTGAATATCTATATTAGTGTGATTTGTCATTTTAACACACAAAGTAAGCAAAAGCTTAAATTTAAGCTTTAATTTAAATCTTAAATAACAAAGCATACATTATTCCATTTTTATTTTAGAGAGCATCTCAAAAAGTCCACAGTACACCAAGGCCTTATCGGTTGTTTCCGCGGTTTAGTTGTTAACGGGGAGATTTTAGATATATACAGCTACATGTCTGTCCATCTGTCCGAGATTATCAAAGACTGTAAACCTTCCTGTGTTCCCAATCCATGTCAGAATAAGGCCACTTGTAAAGAGCTTTGGTCGTCTTACGAATGTATCTGTAAGAATCCTTGGGCCCACTTAGGCGTGCATTGCGAGGAGAGTGAGTATTATAATATTTTAATATTTATCTATTTCTTGGTTGTAACATATATAAACAATAAATTATAAACATTAAACTTCATTAATCATTATTTTTTGTCAATCTAAGAATAAAATTTCATAGTATTACGCCTATTATTAATTATTGTTTAATTAATAAACATAACAAAATAAATGAAAACGTTATCATTTCAAGCGATAATCTTAAACTGCATCAAAATAATCCATACATATAATAAAATTGTAACGAAGCCGAATCTGTACATTAAATATTTTTTGGACAATCTTATTGAAGTAGACATTATTATCGATATAGAGAACGAATCTATAGTTTTTAGATTTTTTGTCTGTCTGTCTGTTACCGCATCACAGAAAAACCACTGGAGGGATTTCGATGAAATTTGGTATGGTAGTAGCTGGTTATCTGGGTCAACATATAAGATACTTTTTACATCGGGAAAATATCGCATTTCTAAGAAAAAATACAAAAACTACATTGTAAGAGTATTACTAATATATAAAACCTAAGAATTTGGTTTTTGGTCATCTGAACGCGGGTGGAGCCACGGGCAATGCTAGTACTTAATAATAACTTACTCAGTTCTTACATAAAGCTTCATAATAACTTATATAATAATAATATATCGAACATAATAAAACACATAATGGTACAAAAATAAACTGTTACAGATTCACTAATTGCTTCCTTCTGGTTAAGAAATGTTTTATTTACAAATGCAATTACCATTTGCATAACACGGCCTTAAATCTTAGCCTAATTGATCTTTTATACGCACTATATATTTAACTCGGTTTGCAAACAACCTAGCAAATAGTCGGTGATTAGAATTTAATTATACGCCGAGTTTGTCATGTTTTATCTTGTTACTAGCGATGTTCCCGGATACATATATATTATCCGTTGCAATTTGAGAATTCTAGTTCGAATTGCATATGATTCTATTGGTAGTATATATATACTAGCAATGCCCGCGGCTCCGCCCGCGTTCAGATGACCAAAAGCCAAATTCTTAGGTTTTACATATTAGTATACTCTTACATTGCAGTTTTTGTATTTTTTCTCAGAAATGAGATATTTTCCCGCAGTAAAAAGTATAGTTTATAGTTTTAAGTTTTCACTTCTTTCGGCAGTCCTCATGACTGCGTTTTTAATGTTATTTTTAATTTCAAAGTACCTATTATGCTTAGGTTATTAATATTATGAATATATACCATATATAAAATCCGTTTGTTATCTAACCAAGAGAATTCACACAATTGAAAACTTTCCAGACATAAACGAGAAAGCCTTAACGTTCCAAACAAAAGAGGCATATCTCAAAAAAAACTATTTAGTAGATAACGCTACGGACGCAGAAAAGATCAGATTGAAGAAAATGATGGTTGAAAATGTTCTTATGAACTTGAGAACTTACGATAACGACGCTTTAGTTTTATACGCAAATGATAATTTAAACAATTTTATACATTTATTCATTCACAACGGTACAGAAATAATATATCTATTCAACAATGAAGATGAAATCGTTCAAATGAACGTGACATACGAGAAAATAAATAAAGGTGAAAGTGTACAGATAGCGATCATAAGGACGGAAAACTCGACAACGTTACATGTTAACGATAAAAACACGACAATCAATAAAGTGGCCAAACTGCTGACCAATTATACGAATAAGCCGTGGAGGAATCCTGAATTGGGTGAGTTAAATGGAGTTTTAGTACTAGTTTTTTAGATAATCTTAGTACTTGATGCTTGTATATAGATATAAGTTGCATGTGAAGTACATAATTAACTATAGATTCTTTTTTTTTTAAAGTTCTTATCATTCTTGAATTGTCTTCTTATTTATTACTATGTGACTTACCCTCGCTTCGCTAGGGTGCGTCGGTATGTACGTTTTAATTTTTTTGAACGGAACCCAAATTCTTTACCATCAGCTATCTACCAGTGAAAGTCCCGTTAAAATCAGTCCAGCCGCTTTGGAGATTAGCCAGAACAAACTAAAAGACAGACAAAAGTTTAAAAAAATGTGTTTTTCTTATAAGTACCGTATATCATTTCATATGCATTAATAAAAAAGCTGCTATTTTGATATTACAAAGAAGGTCTTCAATTTTATTTATCTGTATAGAATTATTTTACGTTTATCTCACATTAATATATTATATCTACGATAAAATAAACAGGAATGAGATATCTAGTATGGTAAAGTTTCTATTAGTATCTAAACGATTTCATAAACTATAAAAATATAATTATAACTATATAAATTATTATCGTTTTTATTGCTACATACATATATTCACTTTTAACTTTTCCACTATATTTCTGCAATAATAAAGAAATATCCAATTACAGAAAATATTAGTATAGTATTTCTAATATCTCCTATACAGTCTCTCAATGAGAGTCCCATTGACTAAAATCATTATGAAGACATTATTTTTATACAAAACAAGCAACTCACACTGGCTCGCTCGAGTTTGTTCCTAGGTACGTTTTAATTTTTTGAGCGGAACCCTTTTCTAAAATAAAAGTAGCCTATGTTACTCCCTATAATATCAGCTATCTTCCAGTGAAAGTCCCGTCAAAATCAGCTCAGCCGTTTCAGAGATTATCCGGAACAAACAGACACACAGACAGACAAAAATTAAAAAGAATGTGTTTTCTTATAAATACCGTATATAATTTCATAATATGCATTTAGTAAAACGCTCTTAATTTGACATTACAAACAGACATTTAAATTTTACTTATCTGAATGATTCTGATTGTTCTGATTGATTTTTATATATATTTATAAAAATCAATGCAATATCCATATAAAGTAACGCGCCAAAACTAGTATTTCGCAGACACTTACAAACAGATACTTTAATTTTATTTATCTGTATAGATTCTAACGAAATGATTAAGTTCAGCGATTATTTCTATGGTTTTTATAACTTTTAGAGGTTATTCGCCCTCAAAGACCGCCGGCCCCTCCCACAGATTACTTTCAAATGAATTTAGGGGGTTACGACCCCTACTCCTTACATTTATCTCATCGTGCTTCAATACTACCGCAAGGGGGTTATGTGGGCTGTGTGAGGGGTTTCAAGATAGCTGACCACGTTGTGGATTTATCGAAAAAGGCACAGCAGAATATTGAACAAGGTAATATTAATATAGCTAAATTAACACGTTTGGTTCAGTTTGTAGTGTACTCGTTGTGTTTGTACTCAGTTTGTACTCTACTTGCTGTGCCAGCGACCGCGAGTTCGAGTCCCGCTGGGGGCATTCATTTGTGTGATGAACACGAATGTTTCTACTCCAATTATGAGTATTTATATTTATAATATGTATGTATTTAAAGTTATATATGTGTAATGTATCCACTATCTGGTATTCATAACACAGACTTCGTAGCTTACCATGGAACTATATAGGACCGTATATAGGCACCGACTTCGAAAATATCTGATTAGGTATCTATTCTAAATGAAAACCTCCGTTAAATTATTTTTTACAATTTAGTGCCTGGAAGTCGGTTTTAATTTTTTTTAAGTTTTTATTTGTCCATTTTTAATGTAGACGTAATAAGCAGGTAATTTGTTAGAAGAAAGTTTTAATAACATGTTCGTTTACGCAATTTATTTAAAAAAATTATTTATTTTTAGATTAAAAAAACGCTTGACCGATTTCGATAAAATTTATATGGGACCACCTGGGAAGTATACCCTTTGAAACAAAAAAAAATCCAAATCGGTTCAGACGTCTTCGAGTAATCGGTGAACATACATAAAAAAATTCCGACGAATTGAGAACCTCCTCCTTTTTGGAAGTCGGTAAAAAATAACCATTCCTTTCTTACCAGAATCCGTTATCCGCCAGTGAAAGTCTCGTTAAAATTGTTTCACCAGTTATATATATCTATAGATAATTTAGAAAACACACAGATAAGTTTAATGTGTGTTTGTGTTCTAGTAATAAAACTTTAATTACGAGTATTTTCTAACGACTGGTGCGCTACCGATGTACGGCCATGTTGTAGGTATGCGTCTGTAAGATTCATCCAAATTCCGTTCGTTCTTAAAAAAGCTTATGATAAAACTTAAGTGAAATGGTTTAAGTTACAAATAAAAAGTGATTTTTATCTATACCCAGTCAGAGTTAAAAAAGGCAATGTGCTAACAATTCTAAGGCGCAATATGAACTCTTCTTACAGAAATCAATCAACATAGATAGGTGGTGAAAACTGAGAAATCATTACATTGGACGACACGTTTGGCTCAGTTTGTAGTGACCCTACTTGATGTGCCAGCGGTCGCGGGTTCGAGTCCCGCTGGGGGTATTCATTTGTGTGATGATCACGAATGTTTATACTCCAGTCATAGGTGTTGATATTTATAATATGTATTTATTTAAAGTTATATATGTGTAGTGTATCAACTATCTGGTATCCATAAAACAACCCTCGTAGCTTACCATAGAACTAGATGATGGTGTGTGTTAATGTCCCAATATATTTATTTATTACAAAAGCTAGGCTAAAGTTCAAAATAAAACTAAAAATATATATATTTAACAAAACGTTTTCTTAAAAGTCTTTAAATCATGCATGCATTAGGCGAACACGATAGTTCACTTAACGCATTCATCTTCTTATAAACAAGGTCAATTCGTACGTTTTTCAGACGACAAAGTCTAAAATTCGTTTAATATTTTTTTAAATGTCAAGATAACAAATATCATATAATTTAATAGCGTCACTAATTTATTTTTAAGTCATTTAATTTTAATAAATATTACAAATTATCATAAATACAGACTTATTAATAATTTTACTACGACTAGGAAATATTTAATTTTAATAACAAAATAATAATAATTCGATGTACATATTCATTTAATGAAAATTGTTTGAAGTGAATTTTTATTTATTATAACTAACCATTTGTAAGTATATATGTATGTATGTATTCAGCCATTTTTAACGTCCCACTGCTGAGCACAGGCCCTCCTTCAATACGAAGGGGGATCAGGCCATAGTCCACCACGCTGGCAAAGTGCGGGTTGGCGGACTTCACATGTCTTTCGAGAATTTTTTTCTTGAAAACTTTCAAAAAAACAATGTTTTCCTTCACCGTGTGAAACTAACCATGTAAAACATGGTTATTATAATGCTAACTCATAAAAATGAAATCTTCTATTAACCATTTTTCTTTTAAATTTTACGCGGCTCCGCTCTCGTGGTAAGAAACACTATCAAATCTGTTCCTATGTTGTATAGATATGGTATATAAGTACATACCAATTATCCAATACATGAGGAAGTTTATAAGCTATCTAACATCACACCGTGGCCCTTAGGAGCAGAGCAATTTTACGTAAGTACGCGAGTGGAACAAAAGCTACAAGACTATAAAATGTTAACAGAAATTTTCTAATTGGATTGCTCCTTTCAGAGATTTGCGCGTTCAAACAAACGAAAAAACAAACAATGTCTTCTCATATATAGATTCAAATTTTAATTTAATATTAATTCGTAAAGAATTTGAAAGATTTTATGAATAAAATGGTAGTTAAATTATACTGTACTTGTTGTATTCTAAAATGTAATTTTAGTATAAATAAATTTATTTTACAATAATTACTTAGCTTTAGTTAAGAATAAAAATAACTTCAAGTGTATGATAGATATTAGTTTTTTCCCGCTGCTCTACTATTATGGTAAGCAAGGCGGGGATTAGAGGTAGTATAGATAGTGCTTGCAATTTTATTTATTTTATTGGGTGTGGTGCCGAGGTCGGGCCTAGCTACATTAATCGTTGCAGTATATGTCCTTTTAAATAAAACTATCTTTTCGGATTATTGCGCGGATTTATTTTGATTTTTGGTTCCCGACGTTTCGAATGCTTTACAGCGATCATGGTCACGGGAGAGACTAAGGTTATAGACGTCTCAAAGGCGTCATAAAATACTTGTTGATAGTGCCTATCAACAATTTTACTGAAATGATTTCAAAAACTCAAAAATCTAAATAAATCCGCGAAATAATCCGAAAAGATAGTTTTATTTAAAATGTCAAATATTCGCGTAAATCTAAAAAAGTATTATCTATGTCCTTATTATTTTAATCAAAATTTGTTCAGTGGTTTCACATGTACCTTCATATATATTATAATATAATATTAGTATGAATTTTCTAGATTTAACAGGTGTTTTGCCGGAATGTAATATGAAATGTGATTCGGAGCCTTGCAAGAACGGCGGGATTTGTACAGAAGATTTCACAAACCAAGAGAGCAGTTGTGATTGCGAGCTTACGAGTTACTTTGGTGAATATTGTATGGAAGAGAAAGGAGCTGAATTCAATGGAGAAAGCATTTTGCAAAGGAAATTTGTCTTAACTGGACCTATATTGAGGGTACGTTAAAAGACGTGTTTGTCTAATATAGTTTATAATTATAATAATTGTTATGTAAGTATTCGTGTCAAGTAGAATTTCTAAAACTCTTGTATGTAGTTGCGTCTATTTGTATGTATAATAATCATATGTTTAATAGTTTTTTTGTAAGTGACTGTTTCAACAAAACTGCATTAGAGTAGCTTCTTCAAAGTGTAACTACTTCTACACTTTTTAAATTTACGATTCAAAATGTGTTTGTAAAAGTCAATTTTTCATAAATTATACCACAATTTAAATGAGGGCTCTGAAAGAATATAAATATAAAGATAAATACTAAATATAGAGGTCTACAATAAAATTAGTAAATATTATAAAACTCGGTTATAAGTATTGTTCGAAGATATCGCGCACATACACACACAAAACACACTAATTAACTTCTTTCTCCCTTTTTAAAGTCGGTCTAAAAAGGAAATTCAAATTAAAATTCTCAATATAGCATTAATTTTTAGGTAAAAATAAAACTGGCGTTTTCAAGTAATGATCTCAGACAAAAGAATACCGTCCTGCTTTTGGTGCAAACTGAAAACAAGTAAGTTCAAAGCTATTTAATATATTTAAACGAGCAATTCTTGTAAATTTATTTATTTATTTATACGGGCGATCTCGGAAACGGCTCTAACGATTTCGCTAAAATTTGGTATGTGAGGGTTTTCGGGGGCGAAAAATCGATCTTGATTAGTGTTATGTCCGGGAAAACGCGTATTTTCAAGTTTTCATGCAGTTTTCTTTCGCATTGTTCTACGCAAAATATATAAAATATAATATCGCATGCTAGAGCATAAGCATCTTGGTCAAGCGGCCAAGATGGATACTCACAGGTGTCTGGGTTTGAATCCCGGTCGGAATAAAAGTTTTTACTTTTGTTTTTATTTGTATTTATTGAAGTTTTTGTTTTTAAAAAAAAAGAAAATTGCACTTTTGACCGAAAATCCGAACGAAGCTCGGTCGCCCAGTAAAGATACTTTAGTATTTATATAATAATACATAGCGTTTTTATTTAGTTCTCATTTTAAATTTAGTTCATCATAATAATACCACAGTCTACTAATCCATACAGACGTCTAACGAAGTGCGGGTTTTTTGAGTAAGTCTAACACCCACAGACATACGTCCATGCCTTGTTTGAGCATTTTTATGTTTTGTTGTTGTTTTTATTTTATTTGAGATGGATTCTTGCGTGTACAATTTCAAAATCAAAAGATGTTGCGAACAAAAAAGAAAAGCTGAACTAAAGTATGGGGTGCGGATGAACTTTAAGAGTCCACCCGCTCCCGTACGAAGCACGGGTTGCGATGTGGGAATGCGCTACCGACTGTCATACTTACTTATGTATGGCAGTTGGGAAACGGGTTTAGGGTTGATGAATACAACTGTAAAAAACCGATCAGCACTATGGTAGACGTAATTCGCCAACCCCAAATAATTCAGGAAATGGGTAGGAAGTGATATAGTGTAAAGGATAATGTTTAAGGGGAGTGGAACCGCGGGCAAAAACTCGTGTTATATATTTCTTATAACAGTGTACCATCATATTTGCAGACGAAGCTATTACTCATAACAGAGTTATATATTTCTACATCATATTTGTAGGCGAAGCTATTACTTACTGGTGGCTATTACTCAAGATGGATACTTGAAGTTTGAAGAGGATCGTGAGGACGCCGCATATGGAGCTGAAGTTAAGGAAAGAAACTTCTTGAATGGTACTTATATATAAATAGCGGCTTAGCCTCTCTTTTTGTGTGCCTCCTTAGAGATGAATGGTTGAGAACGTTCTAAGATTTTTTTTCTTCACGGGGAACCTTCATGGACGTTCGCAGAACATCTCACCAAAGTTTCATTGCAATCGGATGTATGGTTTAGGAACGCGTAAAGTACATACATACAAAGAAGCAGGGCCGGTTTTAGGGGTGTGGACGCCCCGGGAGCAACAAAGGAGTAGCCTCTAATTATTTTCCGAATAAAACAAACAATTTTTTTAGTCAAGTATTTTAAGTATTTATCGCGAAACAAATTAAATTATTTCATTAAACATATGTAGATATAATCAATTACAAGAATTATTTGAAAATAAATTACAGCGTTAACGAATGGAACCTTGCGAGCTTTTTTTGACGAAAAATCTATGATGGTTTCGCTAAACATTCATGCTTTTTTATTATGGATAGAAGTCTTAAATCAGCCTTAAAATGACCATATAATTATAAAATTAATTGTATGCTTAAATAATTAATCTATGGTAAAGTTACTTTTATATATGAGATAGTTGATCGATAAATAATTTAAAACTATGTTTCAGTTCCATAAATTGATTTGTAGAAGCGGGTGAGCTATTTTTTTTTATTTTGGAATAGACACAAATAATTTTGAGATATGAATAAGTACTGTTTTACCAAAACTAGAAAGATTTTTGATCATGAAAATCAGTCAAGCCGTTTAGAAGGAAAATTACGAACAAACGCACAGACAAATCAAATATAAAGATAGTGTTATAGTCAATTACAGTATATCCTACGAATTTAGTAAAATATAATATACTAACAGAACCCGCGGCTTCGCTTGCGCTAAACTATAAAAAAGTCTTAAAAGGTTGGTTTCATACAAACTTTCATCCCCTATTTTACCCCCTTATGGAATGAATTTTGACAAATGCTTAAACACGTATTTATTAAATTGTTTTGAAGACCATTAATACTAAATTTCAAGTAATTCTGATCAGAAATATTTTTTGGGTTGTCTTATAACGTGTTTTCCTGCAGGAATGAAATAATCTTCCGCAGCAAAAAGTAGCCTATGTCACTCTCCAACCCTCCAACTATGTCCACACAAAAAAACACGCCCATCGGCCAATTCGACGTGAAAGAAAGACAAACAAACACACTTTCACATTTATAATATTAGTATGGATTTTTGTCTAGTTTTTACAATTTCAACAATCCAAAGTCGTCTAAAAATGAGATTTCATATAGGTGATAAAAGTTTAGTTTTTGTAAATCCAATCTATTCCAGGTGCCCGTCATACAGTTTATTATACAAGAAAAAACCAACAAGCGAAATTGTTAATAGATAGAATAGAAGTGCCCTTAGAGAAGTTGCCTCCACAAGGACTGTGGGAGGTTCTAGACGTCGGCTCTAATGAAGTGCAGATTGGCGGCCTTAATACCACCGATCCGAGACTGAAGATATACAAAGGATATAATGGATGTTTGTCCAGTGAGTGCTATTATTTAAATAAAACTATCTTTTCGGATTTTTTCGCAGATTTATTTTGATTTTTGGTTCGAGACGTTTTGAATGATTTACAGCAATCACGGTCACGGGAGAGACTAAGGTTTAAGATGTCTCAAAAGCATTATATAATTGTTACAGGCAGCCTATCTATAAATTAACAAAAAGAGTTCAAAAAAATCAATAATGGCATCAAAGTACCTTACAATATTGGTAAATTTTAAACATTTTCATAATTTTAAAAAGAATTTTGGGCCAAGTTTAACTGTAAAAATAGATTTTTTTTAGTTTTTCGGTGAAGAAATTCTCAGTAGCGGAGTAGGGAAATAAAAAATGAGGTATTTTTGAAAATTGTGCGATATTATCCATAGTCAAGTTTTATTGTTTAAGGTTGCACCGACCTTATTATTTTAGTCGGGTGAAAGAGGGCAGGGGATGGGGAGATGAGGTAGGATGGATGGAACGCGTGCGAATTTAGGTACTTCTTTCGTATTATTAAAACTATTTGTTTGAAGTGTATGTGATACAGAAAACGTATAGTTTTGTTATTTTTAAAAAACTGTTGAACTTCCTTGAATTATTATTAACGCCGAACTAAGGGTTCTTTTTTTTAGAGATCGTTTAGGTTTTTTTTCTATCGAGGAAACTACAAGTAATTTTGTTTCGAAAGTGTACGATTTATAGAATAAATCCTTAAATATCCTTACATAATTAAAGTTTTAGTAATAATAATAGAGCGAGGGATCAAACGAGCGCAATTATTTCGCAATTGCCTCGGTGCACCCTGACATTCATTATAACATACAAAATACTGTAATAGGACATTCTACATTGCAGACATCCTGATCGAACTGAATACATACACGATGAAGCCGCTGGAGGAGTACATGCTGTTCACGCGCTCCGGCGCCGAGGCGGTGAACGCGGTGAACGCGCCCGGCGTCCGCTCCGCGCAGTGCTCCAGCGACTTCGACGAGTACTCGCGCCGCGACCGCGACCGCGCCGCGCACAACGGCAGCTCCCTCGTTGTGAGTCAGTCACACGTGACACTGCGCCAACACGTTATAACAATAATATATATTTAAAATGCCAAATAATTATGATTTAATTTCCTAGAGTAATTGTAATAATAATCTTTTCAATACTACGTGACACTGGCGATATAGTCTATGCTCCACTGGCACGTTCTGAAGCCTTTAACAAGAAAATTGAATTGAAATATCATTTACAACTATTGTAAAGCGATAACTGCCTCGGTGATCTAGTGGCTAGTATTTATGGCTGCAGATCCGAAAGTCCCGGGTTTGACTTCCGGGTCGGGCCAAGTATGGTTTTTAAGTTTTTTCTGTTAAGAAATTCTGAGTAAAACCTCTAGGTTGGAAAATTGATGGTTTTTCACCACCGTGTCGAGGCAGAGTACGGAGGTAGTGTGGAGTTGTCGTCTTACCAAAGTGTAAGAGTGACAGGAATGAAAGATAATGCACGTTGTCTCTACGTGAATACTTGTGCACTATAATATCTCCTGCGCAGTTGGCTAGTCTCAGTGAGAGTAGCCACAGAGGCCAAAATCAGGAGGACATCTTATGATATTAAATGTGCAATCCTTGCACATGTACATGTATATATATATATGCAAGGATATATACTTATTTATTTATTCGTGTATCTCGAAAACAGCTTAACGGTTTGGATCATACTTCGTATTGAGATAAGGTTTTGCTGTACAAGTTTATGTACATATATAGTGTTTTTTTCTAAAAAACACAACTTTTCCCAAAAAAAGAACATTTACTAATAACTAATTATTTCTTCTAATCGTACTTACTCATTTTTATTAAAATAAATCTAAGAACTAAATATAACATGTACATAACAATTTCAGAGCGTGGATAAGACTTGGGTAGAGGACCCTCCCTCGCGCGCGCCCTACGACTCGCTCCACACTGCGCCCGACGCGGAAGAAGAAAACACCGACAAGCTGTTCATATCTCTTATAGTTATATTCCTGCTCGGGCTCTGCTATACCGCATCACATGTGAGTTTTATTTAAAACTAGCAGAACCCGCGACTTTTCTCGCGCTAAAACTACAAAAAAATCTAAAATGGTAAATTTCATCCAAACTTTCATAAGCTATTTTACCCCGTATGGGATGAATTTCGAAAAATGCTAAAATAAATATTTAATTAATTGTATTGAAGTGCATTTATACCAAGTTTCAAGTAATTCTGATCATAAATATATTTTTGAATTGTATTATAACGTGTTTTCCCGTGGGAATGATATAATCTCCCGCGGTAAAAATTGCCTATATCACTCTCCAGCCCTCCAACTATCTCCACACAAAAAATCACGCCAATCCGCCAAGACGTTTCGACGTTAAAGAAAGACAAACAAAGGAACAAACAAACAAACAAACACACAAACAAACACACTTTCACATTTATAATATTAGTAATGATGTCAAATATTCGCGTAAATCTAAAAAAGTGTTATAAATCAAATATATTTTTTCGCTTCACCCTAATGAACATAATATGTACCTATATGTGTGTATGTAGTAATGTAACCAACGTCGAGGGGAGGGGTTGTATGGAGGTTTTTCTTTGTAGGGATATTTACCAATGTAGTGGCGCTATGGCTCAATCAACTTCTCCACATGAGAAGCTGAACAAGAATTAATTATAAATTATCAAGTATTTATATTAAAACAACATTAAATAATATAAATGGTAGAGACCTCTTAAAGAGATAAGTCATCCTTCGTACACAAGTTATCTATTTTAACTTGTACGTTTTTTTTCTGGTACATGAATAAATAAACAAATAAATTTATTTTTATTATATTACAGATGTGGAGAACGCAAAAGGCGTACAGATTGAGAATAGAAAAGGAAACAGACGAAAATATCTTGCGAAATAAAGAGAAAGCGACAAAACTTCAAGAACCATCTGTATCTTTTCTACAGGTTCGTTATTAATTAGTTAAATTCAAAAAAATGCGAAAACATTCGTATTTTACCACTTCTACCACCGTTATCCTCCCGTCGCCATTTTTTTAAATAAATATGTTGGGACATTAACACACAGCACCATCTAGTTCCATGGTAAGCTTGTGGCTTGTGTTATGGATACCAGATAGTTGATACACATATATAACTTTAAATATATACATATTATAAATATAAGCACCCATGACTGGAGTACAAACTTTTGTGCTCATCACACAAATAAAAGCCCCCAGCCGGACTTAGGACCCGCGACCGCTGGCACAGAAAGTAGGGTCAGTACAAACTCAGCAAACGTGTCGTCATTTTTTTTTAAATTTTCACGCACGATTTAACTAGTGTGTATGAAAAAAAGCCACTTAAATAAGTAAAGGACATTTAAATAAAAAATATCAGCAAAATAGTGCTTTAAAATGTCACTTTCCGAGATATTTTTAGCTTCTTTTTTTTATATTTTAAAAAATATTATATAAATATTACAACTGTATAATTTGTACCAAAAATTTAGTTTATTCTTTTATGATATATGGTTATTTCTTTTCTCAGTTTTCATGTGGTTATCTTTACTTTGAAATATATCGGAACTGTAAAACTTTAGGGCAACATTCTGCGAATGTTTTATTTCTTTTAAATGACTTATCCATACATATTTATTGTATGTCGCAAATAAAAGTACTTTTCCTCTTTAAAGTAAACTTAAAATAATCACATTAAAAAAATTCAGCTTAACAAAGAACTTGAAGAGAACAAAGAAAGCGAGAAAAAGTCAAACGGCGTCGTCATAGACGCAGTCCCCACCGTCATAATAGAAACTGAAGAAAAACCTGTCAGCAGACGAGGATCGCTGAGATTTAGAGGTATTAATTGATTATTTTTCTTTTAAACAATGTTTACGAAATACATTACTTTCCATGTATTCAGACCTCTTTTTAACGTCCCATTGCTGGGCATAGACCTTCCCATTGTAATCAGTTCTCAATTAAACAACTTTAAATTATCAAATCAAACATTAAAAAAAACTAAAAATATCAAATTAATCAGCTAACCTAATATACCTTATTTTTTTAACGTTGGGAAATGCATTTACGCACGAGGTGTGGGACTCACTGGCAAAGCCAGTACTACCCACTAAAACCCAACAAAACCTTCTCCTGTCTTAATGGGGCGTCGCAGAATCGCTTACGCATTCAACTACGACGCCCCGACGGCAGGTCTGCCGAAGCAGACCACCACAACCATGGGGTTGCTCCAAGGTCCACTCTGCTATCAGAGAAGTACCAGGAGCAACCCGCAAAAATCACCCGCTTTTTGGGTAATTTACCCGCTAATTGGCAGCGCTGTCGCGGAATGACATTTGCCAATTGCCGCGTAGCGTTTGCGCCCGATGGATCTTTCATCTTCAGTCTTACTACGTGTAGTACTTAACTCGTAAAACAGATCTATTCAGAACTACTTCTTGTTTCGTACAGACAATAAAATAGCTCTTTTCAGAGCTACCTTATCTATGTTTCACGAGACATCGAGTGTATTACAGTTTCATCGAGTTTCAAATCAGAACGATTCTAAAGAAGTTTCACTTCAATAAACCTGCTTATTTTCCCCTATTCCCTTCTTCTTCTCCCTGCCCATTTCCCAATCACTTGGGGTCGGCGCAGTACATCTTCTGTATTGCTGATAGGATTTGGCAAAAGTTTTATGACCGGCCGCCTGCTTGACGTCAACCCTCCTTGGGAATATTTTTCCCTATTCCCTATTCACTTATAATTTAACTTACTTATTTTGATAAAATGTAACAGATATGGTAGACAAGGACATTGCGTGGGAGCCTTTAGAAGAAAAGGACGAGACATTAGAGAATGAAGAAGAAGAAAATGCGTCGTACGAAGAAACTGAAGATGAACCAGAATCAGATGATAATAATGCGGTACTTTTAGCCAAATATTTAATTTTTATTATTATTATTATGTATGCATTACCTAGTCATTAAAATCGGTTCACTTGTTTAGGAGTTACGATTAAACATACGGTCGTACGTACAAAAATACGTACATATACATATAAAGGTCAAACACACAACCCTTTTTTTTAGCTTCGTCGCAGTTGAGTAAAAAATAAATGAGCTCTCCTTATTAAAATTATAGTAGTCACACACGAGCGTAAATAGTTCAAAATATGTGAACTTCTATTACACCTTTTATTTATTTGTGAAGAAATAGTTCTCTTAAATAAATTTAAGTTATAAATGTAAGTTCATAAGTAAATTTATTATAAATATTCTCTTTTTTTACGTTCCCTGTTATTCTTATTACAGGATCCCATTAAAAATAATCCTGCGAGCGAAACCAATTCGATTCAAAAAGAACTGCCAACACAACTTCCGTACAAGGTGGATGAAGAAAATCCTGTTGAATTAACGTCTAGTGCATGATACAAATAAATATTATATAACATCGTTTTTATTTTATTTCTTTGATTTTGTTTAAAATTTTAGAAAAACTTTTAGTTTTCAAGATTTTCTGATTTTCATGATATTATTGAAAATTTATTACCTTATTACGTATAATTTATGCCATTTTATTGGAATAGCGAAAACGTATTTTTTTTTATTGAATATTATGTCTGATTAGATGCGTAACATGAACAGTTACTTTAGAAAAAAATATTGAAGTTGCTAATTTCTTATTTCAATGCGACAATATTTTTCATCCAAGTACTGTGGTATTAAAAAAAACACACTGCGCACATTAGCCGCACTATGCACATTACCCACACTATGCATTTTATTCGCCCTGCGCATACTACCCTCTTACGCACTTTACCCGCCCTACGTGCATTTCACACTACGCCCTGCGCATTATACGTACGTACTTTAATCACCCTACACACATAGCCCGCCCTACATGCATACCCCGCCTTACGCATATTACCCGCCCTATGCACATTCCCCGCCCACGGACATTGCATGTCTGAGACCTATCAAGTTTTCGAAAGAGAAGTCCTACTTTTTGAAAAGTGGAAGAATTTGCTACCTAAGCCTGGTATATTCATTCTGGTGGACAATATTTATTCTATAAGGCTTAGTAGACCAATCTGTTAAGTTTTATGATTTTAAAATATTAGCAGATATACAAGGAATAGGAATTCGTAAAATGCCCCACATGCCCAGCTACCCCCGAAAAATTGGGGGACGCAAAGCGTAGAAAATAGTTTTTTTTTTAATTTCGTTTCATTCAATTCAGATCTAAGGGCTCATTCTTTTCGTCTTGAACTGTACTTTATGAAAATATAAAATCACAATTGTTAAATTAAATTGACATTTCAAAAGTGCTTGTATTAATCTAATTCAATAAAGTTAATTTTTATTTCATCATTCACATTTTTTAACTTTCTAAAGGGCCCCAAAATTGATGTGTGCCCAAGGGCCTTTGCGTGGCTTAAGACGGCTCTGCATGTGGGTATATACCCAGGAGTATATATATAATAAAATAAAACCAACCTGTGTTCATAAGAGTACACAATTCCTTCACCGTAGGTGGAAGGTAGGTTTCCTAGACAAGACGTTGGTGGCGTAGAATTTTTTAATAGATAGAGTGATTCAAGAGGAAGGTTTTAGTATAATAATAATATGTTAAGTTTTTGTATACATTGGCTAAAATATAACGATATTTATTGGAGGTATCGGAAAAAAATAAGCCGTCTGGGAGCTTTCAATGAAAACGCCGCCTAAACCCTTTGAGATATAACAAAATAATGTATGGTAGAATTGTGTATCTTATATAGGTCTACAGAAAAGTCCGCGATGGTATATTTCTATCTCTTAAGGATAACATACTATATCCATTTAAATTTAAAACGTACCTAGGGACGAGCCCGAGCGAAGCGAGGGTGAGTCGCTAGTGAAAAATAAATGAATATTAATAATACTGTTTGGTTTATTTTTTCATACTATTCGTCATATCATTAGTGATTTTATAAATTGATTGGCTTTATAACTTGTTTTGTTGTTAGTTTTGGTTCCATTTGGCCACAATCTCTAAGTTTATAATATTTTGAGATATACTGCAAACATCAGACCAAAAACTTTTATCGAAAAATTTATGATCTTTGGCAATGAAATAGCAATAACTTTTTTGTTTTATTGAATTTTGTTCTTCTTGACTTTTTTTAAATTCTCATTCATGGCATAATTTTTCAACCCCATGAGCGTCAAGGTTAGAGTATTTATTTTTAACACCTACTTTACTTTAAACTTGGATGAAAAATGTTGTCTCTATTTCAATAAAATGGCATAAATTATATGTGGCAATAAATTTTCAATAAAATCATGAAAATCAGAAAATCTTTAAAGCAGCAAAAGTTTATTAAAAAAAAATTGCCTTTCTCATAGGGCACGATCTCATCTCTCGCCACTTTTCGTTTGGACCACTATTAACGGGACCTCCTATATGTAAAGATTTCTTACATTATCGAATAACATAATGTGTAAAAAAATTTTTTCTTCTATCGTCAATATTTCGTTCACATCATTTACTAGGAATAACCTATTTAGATAGTGGAAACAAGGACAAATATATTTTACAATACTCCATCAAAATTCAAAAGTTCAGTTTTACGTTTTAGTTTTCTATAATTTTTTATCTGCATATGTTTTACCTAATCTGTATTTGTTTATGGATTAGGTACACACATTTGTCAGTCTTTAATTTTAGAAGTACGATTCAATTGTCATAATATGGAAGAAGTTGAAAAAGAAAAGATAGCAAATCTATCTTCACAATTACTAGTAACGACAATATGTCACCCTATGGAATATGCAAAAGTTCTTATTCAAATTGGATACGAGCCGTTGCCGCCGAGACGATCAACAACACTTTTCGGTCGGCCTGCCATGATATTACCTAACGTCTTTCAGTACATCAAGTTTATCAAGAAATCTGATGGTTTTTTTGGGTGCTACAGAGGTCTCTCTGCGAAAGTACTAGGTATCATCGCTTCCAACCAGCTTACTTCGAAAGTAATCAACGGTTGTGGTATCGACCTTCCTGAAATCAATGACCCTCCTAATATCGTGACGGATGAAGAACCTAAAATCGAGGATTATTACAAACTAGCTCGTCGGGATATGATTATGCACTCGGCATCTGTGATAGTGTCCTATCCTTTCCACGTTGTGTCAGTTAGAATGATGGCATCGTTTGTTGGTAAAGAAGAAGATTACAGCTCCTTGTTAGGTACTATTGTTACCATTTACCGCGACGATGGCATACTTGGTTTCTTTCATGGAATTGTGCCGAAACTTCTAGCAGATTTAACTTGTGTTGCTGTCACTGGTGTATTGGCCTACTATGTCAACAAATATTTGGTGAAAACGAAAGACCTACGTTATTATACTGTACCACTACTCACATTTATTACTAGTACTCTTACTTATCCATTAGTGGTGGTGTCTACTTGTATGGCTGTAGCAGGAAGTAGCCTCAGAGCTGGCAATCCTCCACTTATGCCAGTATACCCCTCTTGGCAAGCCTGCTGGAGAGATCTTCTAAGGAACAAGCAACATAAACGAGGATCATCCCTAATCTTTAGGTACTATATTGCTCCTATTGCGGCTATGCAGTAATCACCTCTACACTAATTTACTATTGCATTTATCAATTTGCGTTTATTTGCTAAGTGTTATTCCATAATCACCAAAGTAGAGAATTTGACCTCTTGTAGAGACTGTAAAATGATTACTGTAAATAATTTAGTGTAAATGGTGTATTATGTGGATTCTTTGCTAGATTGTTGAGTAAAGGTGTGATTATATTTAATAAATATATTTTGTTTGACAATTTATTTATATTAATACTAATATTATTTATTTTTAATATATGAAATGAAAAATAAGTAATGTTACAATCATTTTATTTTGGATAAAGTTTGAGCTTTAATGAAATTGTCAACTAAAGTTTTATCTAACATTCCAATAGCTCTTCTATGAAGGGCCGGTACAGCTTGAGCACTTCCATTTTCTTGTTCAAACTTCATATAATCCATCCACACTTCGATATTATTTTTTCCGTGATGCTGAATCAAGGCTTCATAACATTTCCTAATATTTTTCACCAGTGGTTTATCTTGAGACATTTCAATTTCTATCATAACTCTATGCACTTCTTCTTGTGTCGGTGGTGTTCTTATAAAATCTTCATAGGCTTGTCTTGCAGCTTTCACTCCACTATGTTCATACATTTTCTTTAATAGTTTCGGTTTCAGTGACAATAATACTGCACTTTCACATATTTGAAATTTGCTGTAGCATTTTTTAAACTGAAATACAAAATATAACTTTAGAAAACATATATTTTTATGGATACTAAAATAGAAAGAGACAAACTCGCTAATAATACCTAATTTTGTAACTAGACTTACATCTCATTCATAAATGATTACTCACCACATCACAGGACTCTACATTATCAAGTAAATAATTCCAGAGTGCTATCATGTCATCAGACTTTAAATGCTTACTAGCCTCTTTCAGTATAGATAAAAGTTCATTTTCATCAGTATTATAATGTTGAAGCTTTTCTTCCCATAGAAATCTATAGTGTGGATTTTTGGCTAAAGCACCATTTAGTATCTAAAAAACACAGAACATTATTAAAATCACTTTATTTAATATTATAAATGTTAAAGTTTGTGAAAATGAGTGTTTATGTTTTCATTAAAATATAAAGTATTCAATTTTTTATTTAACATTAATAACATCTCATTCATTAATTGTCGATTTCAACCACCACCATGGCCAGAAAATCAGAGTCCTGAGTAGAAAAACTAACAAAAGGCACTAGGCAAGACTAAACTTATTTTTAATTATTTAATGACATTTTTTCAGATAGAATGCTATGATTACAATTGTATCCGACATTAAAAAACTTGAAGGTGTGTTATCTTCCATAAAATCTTTATCATTTTTTTATCATAATGTTGTTAACATTCTGTGTCATTTTTTAATGTTATATTTTATATACAAACTAGCGACTCAACCTCGCTCCGCTCTCTACAAAGTACAGGAACAAAGTTTTCTCAGAGATGAGATATTTTTCTGCAGTAAAAAGTGTCCTTCCTATATGTTGACACGAATAACCAGCTATCATCATACCTCATAAGAATCTGTCGGGTTATTTTAAAATAATCTATAAGACTGACAAAATTCTAAAAAACTACAGCTTCAGTTGTGCCAACAACAATGATTGTTCCAATAAGATTTTCCAAAAATTTTATTATTTGTATATATATATACCAAAAATTTTGATAAAACATAGCATGAAGACAGATAATGTCCTACGCTAACATATAAGATACTTTTAATCTCAATACCTATACTTCTAGATACACGAAAATAATATGATAACAAAACTTACTTCAATAAATTCATCATTTGATATTTCATCCTCTAATTTCAGCATTCTTATACCAAAAATATACATATCATTTGTCAACAATCCATTTTCATGGCCATAGTACCAAGCATGTTTAACCATACTAATTTTTTGGACTTCAGTATAAATTCCACTTAGGCCGAGTAGGCCATGAATGTATTTTGTGCAGAGTTTTTCATCTGGAAACTAAAAAATAACGTAATTTGAATTCATGAAAAATTTACTTTATTGTTTATTGTTTAATATCATCAATAACATTAAATATAAAACTTCCTGTAATATGCAACATTTTCCAGATACAAGTATATTACATATATTGATGTTTATTTTGGAGAATAAAACTACTATTTTTTTCTTTCTATGTTAGAAATATAGTCTCCATTGAGCTCTCCTGTGATCTGTAAACATTTGTTACTTAAAATTTGCTAAACATAAGTGAGATACCTGTGTTAAAGCTTCTTCATAGACTCCCATGTAATTAATAATTTCTTTAGGATATTCCAATTCATCATTCACATATTCTTCAATTTCTGGCCAGTGGCAACCCTGCAATTTAAAAGTTATTTTTTTATAGTTTTTATTATAATATATTTCTTAAGACTAATTGTCGACAACACATTTGGCTCAGCTTGTAGAGACCCTACTTGCTGTGCCAGCAGTCACAGGTTCGAGTTCACTGGAAGCATTTATTTGTGCGGTGAGCATGAATGCTTGTACTCTAGTAATGGGTGTTTATATTTATAATATCAAATATGTATTTAAAGTTATATATGTGATTTCCATAACACAAGCCTTATAGCTTACCATGGAACTACATAGACAGTGCTGTGTGTTAATGTCCCAACATATTAATTCATTTATTTATTATATGAAAGAATTTAATATAAGCACTTACCTCTAATTCTTTCATTGCAATATATGACCAAACTTCCATTTCTAATCTTCTTTCCCAAATTTCTAGCTTAATTGAAGTTGTAATTGAATCAGCAATTTCATATTTTAAGGAATGGTCACATAATTTACATAAATATGTCACATTTGGTATATTTTTTATGCCATTTTTCCAAACAACATCTGCCCTTTTAAGAAACTTTTCCTAAATAGGAAAAAAAATTACTATCAATATAATAACTAATAACAAAATCTGATAATTATAATAAAAAATGAACAAATGCTAAATTTTGTGTTTTTTTTAACACTAATGTATTTACAACATTGAAATCTTATTTATGATCAAATATGATGAAACTCACTCTCTCTTCTTCATCTTCTGCTTTAAATGCAATCATGAGCTCAATGTCAAACAGATCCAAATAAAGTAATTCAGACTCGGGGTGTCTATGGATACCTTTAAGAAGAAAGTTTCTAGCATTTTCTAAGTTGTTTTGCTCTTTACATTCCCATTTACTTGCCATTTGCCACATCTTTGGCTTGTCTCCGTGAATCTAGAAATTTATGTAAGTACAAATTAAAATATGCAGTTAACTTTATTTGACAAACTGCTATTTAAAAAAAATATTCTAAAACATATTACCCATATATTTTGTTTACCTAACCTACAGAAGTGTTATATTGGTTATGAAGAAATTAAATTATTTTTACTAGCCTAAAAAGTATTAGTATTAAAAAGATAAGAATTGGTGATATGTGGTAATGGTTAACAGAATATATCAAAACCTGTTCTTTTTTTACAATGATTCTCAACAATACAAATATCTACTGAAGGAAATGTTCCATAATAAGATTCTGAAAAAAATTGCCGTGATACTTATACATAAAAATAAATAATATCTTTTAAACATACAATAAAACATACCTGTAACATCTGGCTTAAAATAGCAGATACAGCATGTGTAAAACCAACACTATGGCAAAACTTTATATACTCAAAATAGATAGCAACATCCTGAAACCTGAATATAAAATGTTTGAAAGTTTTATTTAATCTCTTAGTTATAGCAAACTCAATATCTTTTTTCTTCTCTGTCAATTTCGCTTGCTTTCGGCGTAATGTTACATCTTCAAGTAATGCTAGTTCATAAGCTATATATTGAACAAAATCATCTTTTTCTTTAACCCTGCGCTGTATACGATATTCAAATTCTTTTCTTTTACCTGAAATTTCTCTAAAAAGAACCAATAGATAAATTATACAAGTTTACCAAATACATCTAAATCGATTATTATGAAATGAAAGAACTAACTTAATTTCATCGTCGTCATAAAGATTAGTTCGCCGCATTTGTTCTAATTCATTTATCATCCCTTCAATACGTTGATTTACTTGTTCTGCCATTGTGAATGTTATTTATTTTCCAATTTAACCAATAAAATTCATAAATTAAAACAATATCGAAGAATAAACGATATAAACCTTACGACATGCGATGTGAATGACAATTGACATCTTTCTAAAATTTAAGGTTATGTTTACAATTTTAGGACCATAGAATATAATGCCAATTGCTAATGTTCGCGGTTCTCGATAGCTCAGATTAGATACCTTTCTAAAAATAAAAGCCTAGCACATACGAGTCTGCTCATCCATTGAATTTCATCCGTTGACTTCGAAAATGTCTCAACGCTCCTAATAACTTCCTGTGTTTCTTTATTTACACATAAAAGCTTAGTAGAGTTCTTAGTAAATGTAGCGAAATAAACGAGAAACCAAGAGGAATATTGGTTTTATTTAACTGAAAGAATTCCACTAGACAAATGTAATGACTAAATTAATATTAATAAATAACAAAGTATGACAGTTGACACGTTTGGTTTTAACAACACTACGGAGATCGTATACATGGCGCGGAGGTCGCATATCACCTCATTCTCCCCCGGTTCAGTTTTCACTCTCACTCCCATCAACCACAAAGTCCGCTAGGTAGGAGGGTAATTTTCGCGTCCTATTAGATCTCCTGGGGAGTCCAGTCCGAAGAACTGGCGAAGTCGTCGACGGCTCTCCTATACGAGGCGGTGACGAAGGAGCGATATTTTCAGGTGGAGGTGTGGAGTTATTTTCAGATGGAAACCTGAGATTATCATCTTCGGAGGCCATTTCAAAGTTATCGTCGCTGCTATTATCAGTGATACTGGGGAAAGGAGCTAATTGACGGTTTGATACCGTTGAGGTTTCTCCATTATCCCGTCTTATGAGAGAGTAGTAGGGATTGGTCTCTAAGAGCTCGGCTTCCTCGACAAGAGGGTCCGTGTTTGAAGAACGGACGTTCTTCTTAACTAAGATCGGTCCCGGCGTGAGCCAAGATGGCAGTGGATCTCCGTTCGGGGATCTTCTCGGGTATGTGAAAAGTTTTTCGTGCGGAGTAGCGTTTGTTGCCGTACACAGGAGGGAGCGGACACAATGCAATGCGTCCTTCAGAACCACTTCCCAATTTTCCACCGATAATCCCTTTGACCGAAGGCTGAGTTGAATAGTTCGCCAGAGCGTTCCGTTTAGTCGCTCCACTTGGCCATTACCCTGGGGGTTATAGGGCGTCGTTCTGGACGAGGCTATATTTGATTGTCGTAGAAATGATTTGAACTCTTCGGACATGAATGACGACCCTCTATCACTATGAATGTAGAGAGGTTGGCCAAATGTTAGAAAAAGATCTTTCAGGCAAGTAATGACGGTGGCTGAGGTCATATCCTTACATGGGTAAGCAAAAGGAAACCGACTGTACTCATCAATAATTGTAAGTATATACTTGTTGGCTGTTTTAGATGGTAGTGGTCCTTTAAAATCTATGTCGATCCGTTCAAACGGCGACGTAGCTTTTATCAATTGACCCTTGACCTTTAGAAACCTCGGTTTTATTTCGGCGCAGGTAGGGCACGAGGCGGTCACCTCCTTCACATCATTAGCCGAGTAAGGCAAGTTTTTAGATCTTACCCAGTGATACATTCTAGTTACTCCCGGGTGGCAGAGTGCGTTATGTAGTTCTTTCAACTTGTTTATATTCATGTAAGCGCATACGCGAGATAGAGCGTCCGCAGCAGCGTTTTCAGTGCCTGGTCTATAAACTACATCGTATTTGAAGCAAGATAGTTCTAATCGCCAACGTTGGATCTTCTCATTTTTTATTTTACTGTTATGATTTTGATTGAACATGAAGGCAACCGATTGTTGGTCAGTTATAAGAAGAAAATGTCTGCCGATCAGGTAGTGTCTCCATTTCTTTAGGCTCTCTACTATCGCACAAGCCTCTTTTTCGATTGAGGATTGTTTGCATTCCGAGTTATTTAATGTCCGAGAGAAAAAGGCAACTGGTCTTCCATGTTGAGTCAGAGTAGCCCCTAACGCGAATTCCGAAGCGTCTGTTTCGACTGTAAACATTTCATTATCATTAATGGCTACTAGAGCGGCTGCCTTGATATCTTGCTTGAGTTCTTCAAAACACTTGAGCACTTCAGGTGTCAACGGGAAAGTAGTCACGCATGTAAGTGGCTTTATTTTTTCTGAGAAACGCGCAATCCATTTAGCGTAATGAGCAAGCATCCCTAGGACTCGTTTTAGTTCACTAGTTTTAGTTGGAGCGGGAAGCTCTAGAAGAGGTTTTAGTCTTTCCGGGTCAGGACTGATTGTATTATTTTCAACAGTATATCCAAGCAAATTGATTTTAGTCTTATTGAAAACACTCTTCCGTTCGTTTATAGTTAAATGATATTTATTAGCGGCGTCCATAAAGCGTTTTAAATTGTGGTCATGATCCCTTTGATCTTTGCCGCAGACGGTTACATCGTCTAAGTAGGCGAACGTTCCTTCTAGTCTCTCTTCTGTTATGATGAAGTCCAGAGTACGTTGAAAAGCCGCAACGCCATTAGTCACGCCAAATGGAATGCGTGTAAACTGGTACAATTTGCCGCATGCTTCGAAAGCAGTATATATCTTTTCATTTTCTAAGATGGGTATTTGATGGTATGCGTTCTTTAAGTCGATTTGACTGAACACTTTGAATTTTGATACTTTGTTCACGACTGATTCTATGTTTGGCAAGGGGAAGGCATCCAGATCGGTGAATTTGTTTATGGTCATGGAGTAATCAATGACAAGTCGTTTTCGATGAAGCCCTCCTCCCGCTACGAGGACTTGGGCTCTCCAGGGGGAAATACTTGTTTCAATGACCCCGTCTTCAAGTAATTTAGACACTTCTTCTTTTATGAAGGCCTCATCTTCCTTACTGTAGCGCCGGCTTCTCACGGCGATCGGTCGAATGTTCGGCGACAGATTTGTAAATACGGAGGCTGGCGGCACCGAAGCTCGTAATACGTTGCATATCTCTAAAGGTTCGCCAGGCCCACCAAGATTAAAATGAATGCTCGAGTGATGTTTGAGCAAGTCATGGCCGACGATGACGTCAGCACAGAGGTTGTCGACAACTAGAAGAGGCGTTTGTTTGTAAGTATGCTTATTCATCGTAATGGTAGCAAAGCAGACGCCTTCGGCAAAAGAAACTTGATTGAGAGAAGCGAGATTGACTGTCTGCTTGCAGGGTTTTTTGCGTAGTTTCATTATGCGAGCAACACTAGCGTTAATAAAGCTGACTGAACTTCCTGTATCGACGAGTGCATCAGCCTTGTATTCGTTGACCATGATTGGAATTGTCGCACTCCTAAGACTCAAAGGAGAGGCAGCAGAAATAGCTCCACTGTAGAACTGGTTGTTGTTAGAGGTCGTAGGATCTTCAACTGTCGTGGAGTTCAAGTTAATATTGCCCGATCTACAGACGCTTGCAAAGTGTCCTTTCTTTGAGCACTTTTTGCAGGTGGCTTTGTTGGCTGGACATCTGAACCTTGGATGAAGACTCCCACCGCAAAAGAAGCAGGGTTTAGCCGGAGGTGGCGTGGTCGGGGCGGCTTGAAAAGTTCGTGACGATGGAGCTGCCGCTAGGTTTTCGGATTCCTTGTCCCGTGAAGTACCTTGCGATATGGCGGTAAGTTGCGTGGAACTGATACCAATAGCAACTGCATCCTTCTCTGCCGTTTCCAGTGCTACGGCTTGATTAAGTGCTTCTGAGAGAGTGAGTTTTGAGTTTTCTAGTAACCGTTCGCGAATCCTTCGTGATAGTAAGCCGGATATGAGAGCACTACGAATTGCTTGGTCTTCATGCTCTTGAGCTATGACGTCTTCGAATTTACAATCTTTCGCGGAAAGTCGGAGAGCTCTAATATAGTCAGAGATCGTTTCGTCGGCTCGTTGCTTGCGATTGAAGAGAATGTGTCGAGCTAGAATAGTATTTTTCGGTTTGACATAGATATCTTCTAGAACTTTCATCGAATCTTTATAAGTGGAGCATGTTTTGATATGCTTGTAAATCGATGCCGATAAGTGATTAACTAGCAGCTTACGCTTAAGGGAGTCTGGTACATCGTCGGTAATCTCATCTGCTAAGAAGCTTTCAAATGTCGATTTCCAGTGTACCCATTTTTCATCGGCGTCCGCGACATCAGGCTCGATGTCAAACTTATCGGGTCGCAGATATCTCGACAGCGAAGGCATGCCTAGTTTTTCATCAGGCATTTTCAGTTAAATAAATTGTAGCGAAATAAACGAGAAACCAAGAGGAATATTGGTTTTATTTAACTGAAAGAATTCCACTAGACAAATGTAATGACTAAATTAATATTAATAAATAACAAAGTATGACAGTTGACACGTTTGGTTTTAACAACACTACGGAGATCGTATACATGGCGCGGAGGTCGCATATCACCTCAGTAAATCCCGTTCAAAAAATAATACCGACACACCTACTTAATATATATGATTATTTTTCATTTAGAAAAAATAATAAATATAAATAATAATGTAAAAAACTAAATCCTGACGATTTCCAAAATACCAACCAAAATCTATGCATAAGTCTTCATTGTTGGTAATTGGTATATTACAAACTGCAATCTGCTAGAATATTAAATAGGCTATAGTCCTGGTCTGTGGGCTGTAGGTACTATTATTGACATGACATTTATAGCTTTTTTTTATTTTTAAAGCGGAAGTCATAAGTCATATAATAAATATTAGGTCAAATACATGTTATTCGTTGAATATAATGACGACCTATAGATGGCGTTACATCTTAATCTTATTCATGTTTGTTAAAATTATAAAACATAAATCCCGAAATGTTTTATCCTGGTTTAAAATAATTCTCGAGGCTAAGGAAAATGAAATAATGCCTCGAATATGATTTTTTTGTAACATTTACTGATTAATGATTATTATTAATTTTAAAAATTAACTGCCTCGGTGGTGTAGTGGCTAGCATGTACGGCTGCACACTCGGAGGTCCTGGGTTCGAGTCCCGGGTCGGGCCAAGTTTAGTTATTGAGTTTTTCTGTATAGTAAGCCTCAGTAACAGCCCGGAGTTGGGAAGTTGGCGGTGTTTCACCCCCGTGCCTCGGAGAGCACGTAAAGCCGTCGGTCCTGCGCCTTAATTCTCGCTGGTCGTGTCGAGTGGTCGTCCCACCAGAGTATGAGTGATAGGAATAGAGAGTGCGCTTGTGTCTGCGCGTACACTTGTGCACTATAATATCTCCTGCGCAGTTGGCTAGTCTCAATGAGATTGGCCGCCGTGGCCGGAATCGGTCGGGAGAACATCATTATTAATATATCAGCTTTACACAAAGCAAAGTGCGAAGTTTGAAAAGTGCGCATACTTTGTGCTTTTTTAGGACACTTGAAACGCTATTTATCCTGGATTTTTATATATCAATGAACCCAGATAACAAAATTATGATAAAGTTTAAAAAAATTGTACTTATAGTATAATAGTAACTAGTTTACAGCCAGTGAATGTCCTGTCAAAATTAGTCCAGCCGTTTCAGAGATTACCCGGAACAAACAGACAAACATTTAGAAAATTTTGTTTTTCTTTGAAGTACCAGTACCGTATTTAATTCAATATGCATTTAGTAAAAAGTTGTTATTTCGTTATTACAAACAGACATTTCAATTTTATTTATGTGTATAGATGTAATTTGTTAAGTTAACAAGAAATAAAAAATAATATGTTCAAAAATGTTTTATTAGAAAAATTTCATACCTAATACATATTTACATTCAGTTATTATTACATACATAAATTACGTTTTATAGGTGGACAGATTTTGAACTCCGCTTTCAGATGCAGATCCTAAGTCCTGAGTTTGAGGCATCGGTTGGGCAAACATTTTTATTATGTTATCCTGTCAAGAAATTCTAAGTTTACTTGGAAAGTTGGCATAATAGGCATCGTTTCTCATTATTTGAACTATATTGAAATTTTGAAGAGACCGTCCCCACACTATAAGAGTGGAAGAAATAGTTATGCATTATATCTTCGGAAATATTAAAGAAAGTGTCAATGCCATAAACCAATTGAGATGCAGTCAGGATCACTAAGATGTTGAGATGATTGGTGACACGTTTTATTTAATTTACTTTATTACATAAGAGTGTTATACTTTTAAGGCACTGTAAAGGCATGAATCATAAATATTTACAATTATTATTATTTGAGTAAAAAGTGTGATTGCTTCGTCAGTCAATGTTGAACATTTACATAAATGAATAAATTGAGAATTTATAGTATACAATAAATTCTTCTTATGAAATTTACAACAGTTTACTATTTTTTTTTACTAGTGGAAGGTTGCCTATTTACACATAAGTAGCTTTTATTGGCAATGCTTTGATAGAATTTGTATGTATATAGCTTATTTCTATCTCTAATTAGAAAAATCATACATAATTCATTGGTAGTCACTTGTAAATCTCATTATTAATATTATAAATGCAATACATTGAATGGATGTTTGTTTGTTACTCGATCACGGCAGAACGGCTGAACGGATCTGGATGAACTTTGGCACAGAGATAGATTATAGTCTGAAGTAGCACATAAGGTACTTTTTATCCCCAAAAATATATGGTTCCCGTGGGATACATTTGTATTTGTTTTACACTGGGGATAAAATGCTAGTGCAGCTGAGTTGCTAGTAATAAATAACTATCTAGCTGTAAATTTAGTAACGCCGCCATCACAATGTTCAATCATGCCTCTATCTTTAAAGCAACTTAGCCATGTTTTAGAAAATAGCTTGAAACTTTCTCTTTCTTCGTCTGTCTTAAATACTGGTGTAACATTAATTTCTGGAAGGCACCTTCCAAAGTCGACAGCTGGAAGCCAAACTTTGAAGTCAGAATCTGGTGAATATTTGAATATGTCCTGACAACCTTCGAGGTTGATTTGAGGTATAGGTGGTTGCCGCTGTAACAACTTCTTGAGAGCGATGAATGTTAAGTTGTTATCCTTCAATGTAATTGATTGTAAATGCTTGGCACGACCTAGGCATCTGAAAAAATATTAAATTATTATTTTCTCCATTAGATGAATTGTTAAAATGAAAACTTAAAAAAAAAATTAAAATTGACTTCCAAGCACTAAAAAGTAAACAAATAACTATACGGCGGTTTTTATTTAGAATAGATATCTTATCAAATATTTTCGAAGTCGGTGTGCTTTGATTTGATTTGGCTGGCACCGACTTCGAAAATATCTGATTAGGTATCTATTCTAAATAAAAACCCCTATATAGTTATTTTAACATTTTAGTGCCTGGAAGTTGGTTTGAATTTTTGTTTTAAAAAGTTTTTATTTTTCCATTTTCAGTTTAGACGTAGTAAGCAAGTAATTTGTAAGAAGTAAGTTTTTTAATAACACATTCGATTAAGCCATTTATTTAAAAATAATTTTTTGTTGATTTTTTAAAAACTGCTCGACCAATTTCAATAAAATATAAATTGAACCACCTGGGAAGTATACATTCGAAACAAAAAATTATCCAAATCGGTTCAGGCGTCTTTGAGTAATCGGTGAACATACATAAAAAAAAGATTCCGACGAATTGAGAACCTCCTCCTTTTTTAAAAAGTCGGTTGATAAGTTTCAATTTACAGTAAGATCAAGCAGATCTAAAATAAAGTGTTTAGAATCTTACCTAAATATTCTCATAAAATGGCCGTCCACAAGTTTACAATTTGATAAGTTGAACTTTCTCAATTTCAAATCTTTCGCAGTGTCCATAAAACTTGCGATACATCCCACCACAGTGCCTTCTACACTAATATTATCTAACTCTAGTTCAGTCATAACATTAGCATTTAACACTGCCATCAAGCGACCAACCAACACTTGTTTAATCGCATTATTACTAACATCCAGAACCTCCAACATATCAAAATTAACATTATTTTTATTTGCTTCAAAAGTTGCATTTTCAGTGATGTTGCAATTATTTAGTTTCAAACTCTTTAATTTAACATAATGGGTCAATTTTAGTATACATTTGAGACCATTATCCTGTATGCTATTCCCACTTAAATCTATATCTTCTAGTGCAGTACAGATCGGTCTTGTTGCCTTTTCGAAGGCATTCACAAATATTTTTAACCCTTCACTGGTAATATTATTTCTGCTCAAATCCAGTACAGTTAATTGTTTCAATGTACATATGCAATCTGTTAGATATTTCATTCCATCGTCATTTAGATTGTTATTAGATATCATTATGGCAGTGATGTGAGTTTGATGTGTCAGGGCCCTAAATAAAGGCCTTATTTGTAGGGAACTTAAAGTATGAGACCCTAATGCTAGTCGTTTTGTTGTATGACACCGCCCTACTGCTTGTTGCACTTCTTCAGATGGTGCTGAAAAACAAAAATAAAAGTTATAATTAAGATAATTCTATAATAATATGTACTCTAAAATTTTTATACTTTTATAAACACAAAAAAAAAAGAAAAAAGGCATATAAAAATATTGAGTGACGAAATAATAAATAAGAAAGTGAAATAATATCGCAATAGTTACTTTTAAATAAAAAATATATATCAGTGACTCAAAATCACATCAAAATAATTCAACCCCTGGGGATTTTTTCATGAAATATGTATCAGACGACCCTTGGCACAAAACTAGTTAATTACATAAAAGGACCAAAAAAATCAGTTCACAAAGGCAAAGACATTGCATAATATACTGTAAACACATACCATCTATTTTTTTCAAGTCACTCAATGTCAAAAAGACAAGCAAACTTACAAAACTATGTATATATACATATAGATATATGTGTATATAATTATATCAAAACTTACAAATATCCAAAGCATCGCAGCACTCCATATATCTTTCTTCTGCCGGAGATGCCTTAAAGGTGGTGACACAAGTGTTCAGTTCGGGGGACGACAGAACCAGGCTTAAAGGGTCTTCCTCGGAGAGGATTGCTCCGTCTGATGTCATCAAACTGAACACTGGACGGAGACCGGTTATCCTGAAGCATTTATAAATCAAATGAGTATAAACTATACTCAAATACATTTTACAAGCATTTTTGAATGCTCACATTCATATATTTTAAAATTTAATGTCAGTACGAAGTTCATAAGGAAGTTACCACTGCTTGGAAAGCAGTTCTACTGAGAACTTCCAGCGAGAAAGTCAACAGTTGCTCTTTAAAAAATAATATTTGTTTATAATATTGTACTAAATAGCGATTTAAACTCGCTTCGTTCGGGTTCGTCCCTAGGGATGTTTAAATTTTTTTGAGCGGAACCCCAATTCTTTACTTTTTTTAAATAAAAGTAGCCTAAGTTATTCCTTATAGCATCAGCTATCTGCTAGTGAAAATCCGACTAAAATCAGTCCAGCCGGAGATTAGCCGGAACATACAGACAGACACATAGACAAAAAATCACAAAAGCTACGTTTTTCTTTATCAGTAGTGTATATAATTTCATATGCATTTCCACATGTATTCATTTACACGAAGTATTATAATAGGCACTTAGCAACGCACCAGAGCTATATAAGGGTACCTAAGTCACTAGTTACTATATATGGAGGTGAAAACATACTTATAATATCTCGACTTCACTTCTTCAACCAGCCAGCTGATTGTCAATTTATTAATCGTTTCTAGTTTCAATGAAATCAATAACACTTTATCTTCAATTTTCACTTTTACAGCCGCCGGTGGCAATATTTGAGTTTGCATTGCTCTACCATTTTTATTCTGTACTATACTAATCGGTTGTATCACATTCACTGGCTGAACTATATTTGGATTCATACTTTGAACGATATTAAAGCTGTCATTTGAATTAGAAAATACGCTCTCCATTGACGATTTCCTAGAAAACTTTAAATTTTTTTCCCTATTAATTTCTGTGTCACTACCACTGTTACTGTCTATAGATTTTTTTCTTTGAAACCCAGCCCTTAGTAGTGTACTTTGTCTTTTCCATCGTCGTCTCATATTATCTCTTGTATCTTTTGTTTTGGAATCATTAAATTCCCTTGATATATTTCTAAAATCTTCAACGTTTTTAGGTCTTATATTTTCGTTGATATGAAAATGGTCTGAGTCTGAGCTATTTTCACTGATTACATTATTTCGCGATTTCTTTTTGTTGCTATTATTATCTGTTAAGGGGTTTATTTTGTTTATATTGTCTATGCTGTCTCTCAAGCTGTTTATGGATGTTTTCTTAGCTATTACTGTTAATGGATCACTTAATTTCCTTTTCTTTGTTTTGTTCATAATGCCCAAGTCATCATCCAACCAATCATCGTCGATTTCGTCTGGAGCTAGCAACGCTGGTTTTGGTTTTGTCTTTTTCTTCTCACTTTCCGGCATTTCTGTGTTTCTATTACGTATTGCAGACATTGCATTCTTGTATTCTGTGACCCCTAATCTCTTACTATTCCCTCTATTGCTTTCTCTTTCGTCGTCCGACGAATTAGAGTCAGACGGAAATGCCGTTTGATTCCTAACATTTTGCGATAGATTGAATTCTTCATCGCTTTCGTCGTCTATAATGTTTCGTCGTTTCAAAGCTGGCGAATACAGCTCTTTTATACGCTTGCTCATTTTTGAAGTACTCGGAGGCGATGTATCTTGTATTGTTTTGACTGGAGTTTTTGATTTTGATCTATTCAAATATTCTGTGTTATTTCTATCGGCCATATTGTGTATTTTATTGCATATTATATTGTATAGGGATTCCTCATCTTTAGTCAATATGGTGCTTGTACGCCATTTTTGTAGGACTTGTAATGGAGTTTCACCGAAGTCAGTTTTCAGTGTAGGTATGGCGCCTTTTTCTAGCAATAAATTAACTACTTCTAAATGTCCGTTGCTCGCCGCGTCGTACAGTGGTGTTATACCTGAAATATAAGAGATGATTAGAGTAGAATCAAACAGGATATAATTATATAAACATACTAAGATTTTCTTAGTGACCGTGTGTATCTCTATTTAGTCGACAATACTTTAACAAAGCTTCTGTGAAAAACTTTATGTTTATAAGAAAAATATTATCATGTAAGGTACAACAATGTACCATACATATAGTTCATAATTTAATAATTATGTGAAGTTTAATTTGTAGTCTATATAACAACTACAATTGTATCAAACATTTAAAAAATTTATAAAACAATGAGAAGAATTAATTTAGCCAAATTTTTATGACTATAAAAATACATGTAAAACATAAAAAAAACAAACAATCTTCATTTCTGAGTCAACAAAACACGACAAACAGACATAAAAGCGTGTTACACGCGTTGCCTAAAGGAGAACTGCCTAGAGCTGAACTAGGAGAAGACGATAAAGTTTAAGATTCTGCATCAGCATTTCAATAACTTATATATTCCAATTGTAAAAAGTAAATTGGTATTCAATATGTAACTCTAATATCGATCACTATTGTTTCATAGTATTAAATTTAGATGTAATATTTCTATCTTTTTAAGTAATTTTAATTAAAGCTTTAAGTAAAGACTTTGGTTGTTTTAATTCTTATGACTGTCTTAAACGTAATTAACGAGTAAATAAGACACATACTAAAAATTAACAACACATAAAATTACCATCACAGTTAACTCCGCCTCTATCATTGATATTGGCACCGCTATTTATCAATATATTAACAATTTCAACGTGTCCGTGTATGCAGGCCTCGTGTAGCGGCAGCCAGCCGGCATTGTCCCTTATGTTTAGTGGGTGACCTTTAGCTATCAGACGTTCTACTAGCATTTTGTTACCCGATATGCATGCCTGGAAATAAAATTAATGTTTAAGTATCTGTATAAATATTATAAATGTGAAAGTTTGTGATTATGTATGGATGTTTGTTACTCTTTCAGCCAGAACCAGCCAGAATGGCTGAACGGATCTGGATAAAATTTGGCACAGAGATAGATTATAGTCATGAACGAATTAACCACTGGACTAGACATATAAGCGGACGTACCTTTATCGGTCTTCTCAGTAACCAGGAGATTTTAGGCTTGGTCGTTTGTTTTTTGCGTCAGTCTCAAGCACTTATATGTCAACAAAACATCTCCCAAAAACGACTAAATGTTCTGTTAAATGATGTAAAAACTATAACGGCGGAAGCAGCAGTATTTCTTTTCACTTGTAAATACATTATTTTATTACATTTATTGTTATTTATCACACAATTTAATTAAATGTAAAATAAAATGTCATATTATCTAACTATGTTAAATATAGTCGATATTTCTATGTATTGTTGACATCTGACAACCATCCTAAAATCCCTGGATTATACCATTCAGAACAAATGACTAAACTGTCGAGTGAGTCCATTTGACATCGACTAGTGCTTGACAATGTCAAAAAATATATCGATATTTGACGAAATTACTAAACGAATTGTGTTATTTGTACAGTACAATAACATAAAATACTTTTACCACAGTATCCTACAATCTGATGACAATAAATTTATAAAAATATTTTCTAAATCAAATAAAAATATAAATGCAAAAATTATAATTAGTATGTGTACTTAATTTTTTATTTTATTTTATTGTACATTTATATACTTTGGAATATTATTCCATTGTAATAATAATAAAGATTATTTTATTTCAACACATAAATTACACATAATCAAACAATAATGTTTTAGCACTAAACTTCTGGGTTGGCGATTTGTAATAAAACACTCACAACCAACCAACCCTCACTTTAATTTGCAATCTCTTTTTCTTTTTCCTAATTTCACAAATGTTTATTAAGAACTGAGCAATAGTAGGACAGTGTCACATTTTTATAACTACCCGAGACAATCAATTGCCAATTAAAATAGTTCAATAACAGAATCAACAAAATCACTTTATTTAATTAAATTAGCTTAATATTTTTTTTTTAATCTTTACAAAATAATATTTATTATATATTAATGGAATATATACCCGATATTCATTTGTTCATTAACATTATTATAGGCCAACAGAATGTTGCCATCAATGCCATCGTATATAAATAAATCAAATTAAAAAATAATTATTATTTGACACATTATTATTGCCTCTTTAATTCATTTATTTTAATTTATTAAAATTAAAAGAAGAAGAATAAATTAAAAGATGTAAAATATGATGACTATGCTAACCAATGTCTAAAATGTCATTCATTGGTTCATCGATATATGTATTTTATCGATTACGTTCAAGCACTAGAAATATTGTATTGTGTATCAGTGTTTATAATAATGTAATAAAATCTTTGTGTGTGTTATGCGTCACTTGGTTGAACTAGTTTTCATACATTTGTATTTTATGTCAGGTCCAGTCTCTAATTCGTTCATGATTATAGTCTAAAATAACACATAGGCTACTTTTTATCCCGGAAAAATGTACGGTTCCCGAGGGATAGATTGTATATATTTTCTATAATATGAATGATAAAAAGTATGCCTATGTAAAGTAGCCTATGTGTTATTCTGATGTATCAATTATATTATTATAAAGTTTCATTAAAATCCACTCAGTTTTTCGTGAAAAAGTAACAAACATCCATACAAACTTCTCTTTTCTTCTCCTCACAAACTTTCGCGTTTATAATATTAGTATAGATGGCGGTTGTAATAAATTTTGATGTTACATTTAGCAGATATGTTATAAATAAATATTTAAATTAAATATGTATAATAAATATTAAATTAATAAAATATTAAACATCTATTTAGTCCTGTCTATGGTTCCTTTCAACAAAGGTTCTCTGTAAGAGATTGCTCATAGCAATAAGACTGCCTTTGCATGCCTCTTTGTTATTTGTCTTTTCATATTCTTTACTCTTCTTTTGTGTGAGCAATAAGGTATTTATCTATCTATCTAAATATAAAACATATAAAATGTACTTACCACATGTAATTGGGTCTCTCCTTTCATATTTTTCTTAATGGCATACCCCTTCCCGCGCCTTCTAGTTTCACGCTTCTCACTTATATCTTCCTCATTTGTATCAGAGATATCTGTAACATATTTAATAAAGCAATTAAAAAAAAACTTTATTACAATCCTATTTGTGGAATATTGCAATAATACAATTTAGTGATAGCGTTGATAGATCGTTAAAAATATACAACTTAACGTTTTCCATGATCCGCTAAATTTAAAAACTGTTCTTACGTTTCAAATTGATTAAATCGAAGTCTAGACTTTTTAATTATTTAATCACACGATTTACTTATATTTTATGACACAAGCTTGGAGGATGATCAGTTATGATGAAACAAAAATAATTTTAAATACACTATCTCTTTCCCACAAATGTTGCCAACTAACAAGAAATACTATATTTAAATAAAATATGTATTACATTGTATTTTAACAAAAACAAATCGAATACATTATGAATAATATTTAAACAATCCATATTTATTTGAGTTTTATTTTAAGATTTTAAAAATCTACTTGACAGTTCTACTATTAAAGGGACTTTAAAAGACATTAAATTATTAAGGAAAAATAGACTTTAAACGTTACACGTAAAGGTGACTCTTTCTAAATACAAAAATAAATAATGTACCAGTCAAATCATCAAGACATATATCATCGCCAATCCGTGTGTCATCATCTCCTCCCGCTGAACTTTGTTCGTCTTCAGAATGTTCTAGATTATCGAAATCATCATATCCCAAAGTTTGTAGTTCAGACTTTGTGTCCTCCATTTTATCAGTCTCATTTAATTCCTCCTGGTATTTTAGAAGGTTCTTTAATATTCGGATTTCATATTTCTTCTTGTTCCATTCTTTTGCCTGAAAAAAATATGGAAATAGAAAAAAAATTAGGACAAGAAATAACATTTTTTGAAGTTATACTTTTTTTGGCGCGATATGAAAAATGAATGATGAAAGTGATATTTTTACGATACGACGGTTTTAGTCTACAGTATGAAGTCAGTCGTTATTGGCTACAGTGTGAAGTTTGTCGTCAAATCTCCCTTTAGCGTGATGTCTATATTCGAGATATATATTCTGTTATTTCTATATACTCAACACGTTTGGTACTCGTGACTGCAGGATTATCTAAAGGCCGCTCTTTTTTAGTCCAATATGGCAGACGTTACAAAATGGCAATTTATCATTTCCATAGGAACCATTAAAAAACACAATAAGCAAAGTGACGTCATTGTAAATCTAATATGGGGAACTCCCAGAGATGGCGAACTGTTTTTATTTATGCACCCATAAAATGTGGATATTAAATGAAAGGGCTTGATGAGCGAAACACACTAAGCAAAACGACGTAAATGCAATATAATATCTATCAATAATAAAATATTCATCATTTTTTTATTTATTTATATGATCATTTTTTTTTTATTTTACAAATAAAAACCAGATAACCTGAAGTCTAAATCTATTACAAAAACCATTATGAAAATTGTTCACAATTTGCAAAGATATTTAAAGATAAACACAAAATCTTCAGTTTAAATAATGCCTGTTTTTATTAATGATATAAAAAGTTATTTATGATTATACTTACAGCATTTCTTGCATCACGACAGGCTTTTTCTATTTGATCATATGGTTTCTTAGCAAGGAATAATACTTCAGCTATATTATATAGTGTATTGTATGCTTCTTTGGGAACATCCCGTATAAGTTCATACTCTTTGTAGTAGTATTCTAAAGCTTCGTTATATGAACCCATGTCTTTGTATGTTTGGTAAAGACTGAAATAAAAAAATATTTTTTTGAAGTAATTATACATAGTGATATGTAACACGCTTGCTTGGAAAACCGAGTGAAGCGGGTTCAAATCGGGTATCGCACCTTTGATATATTCATGTGCAAATCATTTTCAACATGATTACTATTAGTCTTACAATGAAAGAACACAATGTGAAGAAGCCTGCATATTTCAGAGAACCTAACAAGTTTTCGAAAGATATGCTCAGTTTGTCCACACTTGGCCAGCGTGGTGGACTATGGCCTGATCACCCTCGTACTGAAGGGAGGTCCGTGCCCTGCAGTGGGACGTTAAAAAGGGCTGAATACAACTATTTATAAATTTGAAATGACACATTAGATGTACTGAAATTCCAAAAAGAGCTAAAAATAATATGAGAAATAATGTACCAAGATTAAACTTGCTTTAATCCAATACATTGTTTTGTGTAAAAGGACCAATAAACATGTTTTCGCATTTAATAACGTAACGTAATGTAATTCCAGAATTTTCCACCTACATTCAAACTTTTTTTTAAATATTGATCTAAATAAAACTCACCTAACATAAATAGGTATTAAGGTCTTTCCGCAATCACCCGCTAATTCTGCATGTTCGAGCATTTTTAAGTAATACTCGACTGCTCCGGCGTAATTTTTTAAATGACAAGCTCCATCTCCCAATTTCTCATATAGCTTTTTGAATGTAGCATGATCTGATGGGTCCGTTGATATGAGAAGGTCCTCAGTATAACATATTGCAGCAACTGTGAAATGATTTACATGTTTATTATTGACTAGCGTCTCACCCTCGCTTCGCTCAGGTTCGTCCCGAGATACGTTTTGACGTTTAGTATGGAATAGTTTTTTTTTAGATTTTTTTTTTTGTGAATTTTTCCGAATTTTTTAATAGATATTTTGCTGTTCGGGGTGAAGACAAATCCAACGAAACAAAGATCATAAAAATCGGTCCAGCAATATAAATTATATATGCGCCTTGGCAGTAAAAGAGACGCCACCATACCCCTTCTACGCCACCGCTCTCAACTCTCTTCTGTGTTTTGTGTAATAATTATTAATTTGAATACATATATATATTTTCTAATTATTATTATAATTAAAATAAGAAGAAAAATTGATTTTATTAACAAAAGTTGTTTCTTTAATTTACTCAACATTTCGTTATTGGTTTTTTTTAATTATGAATTTTAATATTTAACATAGATGTTTTACATCTGATAGGTGTCCCGTGATGGCCAACTTTTTTTATAATACTCCCATCATACAACTTCTGTTTAATGACAATTTGACACTTGCACTGTAACACCGTCAATTTCCAATTCCCATTCTAGGTGTACCTGTATACTACAAAAAATATGTCTTTCTTTATAATAAATCTTATCCAAATCTGTCCAGTCGTTTCAGCAAGAAGAAGTAATGAACATACACACACAAAGTTTCACAACTATTATTCAGACTATAATTATAATTAAGAAATATTCTATAAACTAACATACTGTATGTATATTTCACATTTGTACACACAACTTTATGTATGCAGTTATATACTTCTCACTTTCCACCTAGGCAAAGCTAAAGACTGTTGCTTGTAATAACTAAATTATGTATAAAAACTGACTTCTCAGGCCAGAAGGCCTTACCTCAAATCAGGTTGATGATACCGAATCACTGCACTATCAAAGGCAATAGAAGCACATGCAATGTTTCAAGTCAATATGACAATTAGAAGTAGGTTAAATTTGCATTAGCTATCTAGTTAGCTTTAAGTTTAAATGGGACCAAACTGGAAGTATACACTTTCAAACAAAACAAAAATTGTCCAAATCAGTTAATAAATGACAGAATTCAGAGGTAACAAACATTAAAAAAAAAAAAAAAATCAGCTGAATTAAGATCTCTTTTTTGAAGTAGGTTGAAAATTCATTAAAATTTTATTAAAGCAAATTATAAAACAGATCTGACATACCAACTTTGAGGTTTGATTCTATATTCTCCCTCTCTACTTCATCAGGTGTTTTCAATTTCCAAGCTTTCAGTAATACTTGCTTGGCACTTTGATAGTCAGACATTTTACATAATATATCTGCTTTGGACGATAGAGTCTCACACAATTTTAATACCTAAAAAAATATGAATAATATTAATTTCCTTAAATTAACATATTTTTATATACTAACCTTAGTTTTTTTTTCTCATATTGTTAATTAGTAACATTGTTTTGTAATAATTATGTAATCTCAAAATTTATGGAAAAACTGTCATATGAATATATGCATACTAGCAACTCACCCTTGCTCTGCTTGGGTTCGTCCGTACTTACGTTTTAACGTTTAGTATAGATTTCTCTGAAATGAGTTTTTTTTTGCAGTAAAAAGTGTCCTATATATTGACACGGATAATGGGCTACCATCATACCATATAGTGATGCAGTCACAGACAGACAGACAATAATTCAAAAAATTATAGATTTGGCCTCTGTATTAATAATAATATGTCTATTTCAATAAAATTTTCCAAAAAATATTGAATGTACAGATTCGACTTCGTTACAATTTTATTACATGTATAGATATGCATACCTTATCTTCTAGTCTACTCGCAACTTCTAATGCTTTATTTAAACAACTTAAAGCTTTTGCAAAGTCTTTTCTTTTATTACAATGCAAAAGAGCTTCTGTAATATAGCAATTATGAAGAACCTCATATAAATCATGATTGGCACATATAGTTATTGCCTTATGTATGCAATCTATAGCTTTATCTAGAAATCCTAGGTGTTCTTGCACTACACCTATATTAAGTAAGAGACGGGCTCGCATATCCATTAATTCTGTTTTATTAATTTTACCATTTAATCTGAAAAAAACATGTTTATTATATTAGAAAGTAAAAATAAATCAATATTTATATATTATTTACAATTATTTGCTTTCAAATATAACAACATAATTTTTATCATTAATATGTTCAAAAATTTATGGATAATATTTAATACTGTTTATTAGTGACTGTAAGTAGCCAATGAGAATGAACCTCAATCGCCTGAAAACCACTATGAGGTATGGTATGTAGTAGTGTATTGTAGTATTATTATATTATGGAGATGAAAACACATGATTCTCTTCATGAAATACACTACAGTACATAAAAACATGTACATAAAAACAAGTACAGTATATAAAAATTTATTCATTCAGATATTAAAGATGATACAATAATGAAACACACTTTTACATTTGTATTACTAGAAAGGAGTTAATCAACAAATATTATGTAATAAACAAACTTACTTTTCACAAAGTACAAGGCTTTTCATAAATGCTTTTTCTGCAGCAGTCAATGATGGCTTAGTCTCTCTCTCTTCTGAAGAACTTTGACCTTGCAATAAGTATATCCTGCCTAATGTTGCCATAGCTCTTTGTTCTTCTACTAAATTACTGAGTTCTTTTGCTACCGCTAAAATATCATATTATATTAGGATATAACACTGATGGTAAAAACAAGAATCAACAATCAATTTTATATTTTGTAATGAGTTATTTTGTGAGATTCTTATGTTAACTATTTCTTTAGGTATATTTATAAATATTTACACTAAAAGAAAATAATTAAGTACATTATTACCTAAATGACGTTCTTCATATTTAAGAGCCTTATCGAATTCAGCTAAAAGCATATACATTTCGCCAATCATTCTGTTACAAGTTCCCCATTCCATGCGAAGTCCAAGTTCCTTGCAAACAGCAGCTTCATTTTTGTATTCGTCCAAAGCATCACTATAACGTGATTGCTTATAATAATAAGTTGCCAAGTCATTATAGGCTTCTATTAAAACTCGTCTATTGCTCCCATTTAAAGCCTTTTTCTTCTTACGAATAAGTTCTGGAAATATAAATCAATTTAAATCACTTTCATAGAAAACGTAATCAAATTGTAGTCATATGTGTAAAAATTGTTATACTTTCTTCTTCCATGACTGAGAAGTGAAAAATTATATCATTCTATACTTATAATCATAAAGAATTATTTGTTTTTAGGTTTGATAGTAAGTTTTTGTACAAATCAAGCGCGTTTTATTTTTGATACCAAACGTAAATGACATTGACACTTGACAGAAACTTAGAGTTTAGACATTGATTTGGCGCCAGCTGATTTAATCACAGCTGCTTAATATATGTAAAATTTTAGTGAACGATGGAAATTGCAGTATATTCCTCAGATAAGGTTAAATATTATATTGGTTTAGTATTAATTTTAATTAAACTTCTATTTTTACCATTATATCTTACAGTTATTTCACAGAGCAATGCATACTATAATCTCATGAAGCTTACCTAAAGTCTCTGTAATTTTTTACACTGTAAGGCGTTAGGCTAGGATAGGATTTGGTGATGCAAATTTTTTTGACACAAATATTGTAGGTACCTAATTCGTGTGTTTATAAATTTGAAGAATGTAAATTAAAACTTGAAGTAATTGAACTCTTGCATTGTTTATTTATTTAGTATTCAATTTTAAGCCTTTGTATTATATTTTAGTGACTGTTCTTCGATAAATGCAGTGAATATTTTGGCCTGTGACCGTAAGTTTTGTTTATCAATAAATTTTTGTTATTATGAATTAAAATATGTTAGAATAAGCTGCAGGAGGCTGCTACATATGTTATAAAATTGTAGCAATATTTTGATTGTGGGAACTTATAAAGTAACTATTATAATTAAATTAAAAAAAAATAGCTACATACAGTCTATATATTTGAAGTTAAATAAAGATGATACGACAAGATAATAGGTACCTACATATAGCTAATAGTTATTGAATTAATATAAAAGACTTACTAATGCTACTACTGCCTACAATTTGTTAGGTGCAACAGTTTAGGTATCATCAAATTATTTTTAGATATATTTATTACCTACCTATAAACATAATAACTGTATTTATGTATTTATGTGATAATAATTATTAACTGTTAATAAATATCGTTAAATTATTAATTTTGTCAACTATTTTTTTTATACAATTAATTTAAATCTATAGTTTTTGATATTTAACTGGGATAATTAATATAATTTTAAATCAGTTTGTAAATATTTTCTAAAGACTTTAACTAAACAAGTAATTTATTTAGCAGGGCTGTGGCAAGGTTAATTACTAAAAAAAATAAGTGTATCTGAATTAATAGTATAATAGAACCAGACTAGTTTTAGGGGAGGGCAACACGGTCTGTATACCTGGGCATACGTGTGAGAGCACAGCAATACAACAGGAGTGTATGGGTCTTGTTTGCTAAATTTGAAATTTGGTGAACAAAAGAACAATATAAGCCTGTCCTCTGAAATGTCCTCCAAATTTATGACACATTATGAGTTAAGTAATGTACTATTTTTTATTAGAATGATTTTTTTTGCTTTTATCCATAATTTAGTATTTGGATAGATATTTTACTGTGCTATTAAATCCTTAAGGAACCACTCAATCACCCTTTATATTTTATAAAATACTAGCGACTTACTGTGCTTCCCTTGGGTGCGTCCCTAGGTATGTTTCATTTTTATAAGCAGAACCCTAATTTTTTTTCTAATATTAAAGTAGCCTAGGTTACTCCATATAATATCAGCTATCTGGCAGTGAAAGCCCCGTTAATATCAGTCCAGCCGTTTCGGACATTAGCCGGAATACACAGACTGACACAAAAAAAATAAAAATTGTGTTTTTCGAATAAATACTGTAAATAATTTTATATGCATATTTTTAGTATAAAGCTGTTATTTTAATTACAAACAGACACTTCAATTTTATTTTTCTGTATAGAGTAGGTATAGATATTAAATTTTTAGTTTGAAAGGCAAAAGTTATGCATACTTCAACCGCTAGATAAACTGATAATTTAAATCAAGATTTACAGCATAAGATTACATGTCTAACATAATGTACAAAATTATAATGTAACTAGCAATTAAATAGTCCCTAAATACGTTTTATCGATTTATACTAATCTTTCTCAGAGATATCTATCGTCATACCAAATTTCATCAAAATCAGTCCAGTGGTTTTCTCGTGATGCGTTCCCAGACAGACCGACACAGACAAAAATTTTAAAAACTATAGATTCGGCCTCTATATTCACACGTATCTTTCGATAAGAAAAGACTATTTCAACAAGATTTTCCAAAAAATATTTAATGTACAGATTCAACTCAAATTAGAATTTTATTATATGTATCGAAGAAAAAAAAATTACATGGTATAATTGGTATTAATCTTATTAGTACCATCCTACTAGGCACTAGCTCGGAGCAAATAGGTCGAACTATCGTTATATCCTTGCATCTACGACATTCCGTTTCTAGCGACGTCCCGGCGCCATAAAAGGCGCCATATTGACTTTTCCTATTTAACGTCGAAATCACTTGGACATCAGTATCACGAATTTAAAAAAAAACTCAGATTCAGCGTATTGGCCGATCATGATTTGAATATTTAAATAGACAATAATATACAAAGTAGGTGATGAGAGAATTCTTAGAATTCAGCAGACAACTTTGTTGCTTTTGGTTAAGTATATTTATTTTGCAAGTACTTTTTAAATATAATTATTTAACTTATATAACATAGCTATAAGTTATAACAAAAAGGAGAAATATAAATTAAATATACGTATAAATTTATTTATTAAATTATGTTCACTAAAACATAATTTGCGCGTGAGTAAACATCAAGCAAGAAATTCTCAATATTTTATAATCATATTTTATATTACAGATAAATTATCCAAAGAGAAACTTTTTACTTTAATGCTTGAGAAAATCTCATTATTTCGCTGTTAAGAAAATTGAACGAGCAAAAATGTTTTTGACGATACACTTGTATCCGTAAAAGAAAACTCGTATGGCCCAAATAGAAAATCCGTTTTCTTACAAATATATCCTCGAATCGGAAGCGACGTCTTCAGGCCAACTTGATATGTGATCGTCGAAGCAATCCGTTCACGTAACAAACGCGAAAATGGCCGACGAACCGGCAAAAGTGGGGCAAGTAAGCATGTTTATAGATGAAATATTTTATTCATAAATTTCATATTCGATCTAAGTTGCGTTTCGAGCACTTTAAAATACATCTACAAATTTTATACCTCGATTCCCTATAAATCCTTGAAATTTAATATGTATGTAGGTATAAAAATTATCAGTTTAGCAAATCACATAATTATTAGCGTACTACTAATCCCAGACTCATGCAGTTTATTACGTCAGTTAATTAGGTTCTAATCAGTTAAGCTTGCTTAATCTATAGATGGATTATCGATTCATAGAATTTGTTATTGCTTATATATACATATATTAAATGCTAAATCGACCGCTCCTTCATGTAAAAGAGAAATCGGAAAAAAATGTTTAAATTGTACCGGTTAAAAGTGGGGTTCGACTTCGAGAGATAGATTGCCAGGAATACCTACTGTTGGTAAACAAGAGATCTCGCAACAATAGATGAGTAGGCGGCTAGCCATTGATTCACGCATCGGAGTTTAAACGATGCATTCGGGGAACAGTACGCATTCGGTTACATGTCGAGGTGTCCGAACGGTACCACGATTCCGGTTCTAATTAAAGCGGAATGATTCAGCGAACTCGACCAATGTAAATTTGATTAAAATTCGCGTTATTCTCGAATTTAAGCTATATGTAGTGCTTAGAATATAGATGCAACAAATAAGTTTCATTTTTCACTTTAAAAAATGGATATTGAGCGTCAATTTATATAATATGTACATATAATATAATAATTGTCAATTGTCATTCAAATGATGTTAGAAATTTAAATTTTACTTTTAAATTTAGTCAAAACAAATTTTATCTAGTATCTACTTAACTATTATCATACTTATAAGTACAATATACTAAATAAAGAATAATAAGAGTAAGGTAATTTAATCATAAAGCACATCAAAGTGCCCTGACAGGCATGATATCGCTCTTTGAATCTTCCTATTCATTCACTTAGTCTAAAGACTCCAAAAATATCATAATAGAGCAATGGCCGGGAAACTGAATGGTTTTATTGTAGACCTCATCTATTATGCATTTAGTGAGGCCCAATCACAAGCTGAGGCCGTAAACGAAAATCGTTACTGATCTGAAAGTAGAACAGGAGGAACGGGGTCGTCGACGAAATTATACCACATCACACGCTATGCAAAAACGCTTATCAAATCGACTCTATAAGTAACAACTTAGAAATAACACCGAAAACTTCATTTGTATCTACATAATATATTGAATGAGGGGAAGTTAATATAAAGAAGGTTTTTACTCGAAAAGTCAATATTGTATAGCCGAAAATAACAGGGTTAAATGTATATTAGAAAGTTATTTCGAAGTTTGACCCATGTTATGTATAAAATTCAACTTTGGTTTCGAATAACATTATTATTTCGAGCAACCTTTTGTAAACTAATGTTAATTTTATACGTACCTGTTTGTTAGCAGGGCTCGGAAACCCATTTAATTTTTAAACCGGTTTCGGTCATTGACCCGAAAGGCTTTTCGGTTGAAGGTTTCGGTTACGTTCTTTAACCGGTTAAATCCGGGAGAAAGGTTTTTGACTAATTTAGGTTCCATGAACAAAATTAACCGGTTAAAATGAGTTTTTGTGCGTTTTACATATTTGGCGCGTCTTTACTAATAGTGAATGGCTTAGTAGAAGGATGCATGCACATTTCTTACCTTATATTAACCGGTTTATTTCGGTATCAAATTCGAAATTCAACCTTTTTCTAAGAATAACCGTTAACCATTATTAATTCGGTTTACTAAACCGTTAGTTTTCATTAACCGGTTAAAGAACGAGCGATGAATTAAGCATTACATTGCCGAAATAAACCGTTTTTTTTTCAAAACCGGTTCCGAGCTTCCTAGTTACGAGTTATTAAAACTAATACAAATTTCTGTTTTTTACAACTAAAAAAGTTTCT